TGGCTTGAAATACATATATGCTTCTTGTAAAACATGTGGATGCTTCTAGCCTTGAGTATAAGAAAAGCAAACTTGTCACAAAACCTTTTTCTCTTGTGAAGATATCCATTTCTTTGTAAACCCTACCACTTAGAGCAACTTGGTGTTACAGTTTAATCTGTACCTTTCTAGAATTTCTTTGTACATTTACATGCAAATATATTTATTTCTTAGAAAAATGGGGTCATAGTCTACTACTTTATAACCTTCCTTGGAATGCATTCTTTTTGAAAAATCAGCTTTATTGAGTTATAATACACATACCCTTCAGCTTACCAATTTCAATTGTAAAATTCGGTGGTTTTTAGGTATATTCAGAGTTGCACAGTCATTATCATAATCAATTTTAGGACATTTGCATTACACCAGAAAAAACCTTGCACTCAGTCACTCCCATTCTCCCTGAACACCGGGCAACCTATCAACTTCCTGTCTACAGCTTTACCTATTCTAGACATTTCAAGTAATGGAGTCGAACAATATGTAGTCTTTCACATCTGGCTTCTTTTACTTACTGTATATGTGAGTTTTATCCATGTGGTAGCACATATCAATACTTGTTAAATTATGGCTGAGTAACCCATTATATAGATAGGCTCTGTTCACCAGTTGACAGGCATTTGGATTATTTCCACTTTTAGACTCTTAGGAATTAGGCTGCCATGAACATTCATGTGGAAGTTTTTATGTGAACATATGTTTTCATATCTTTTGGAGAGGTAGCTACCTAGGGTTTGGTCATGTGGTAAATTTGTGCTTAAGTTTTTAAGAAAATGCCCAACTAAATAATTAAGTTTTATTTGAAGCAATGTAAATTCATATAATGGTAACAATTTTTATATTAGATTACTGTAGTAAGTAAAATGATAATGTCCAGAGCGGATGAGTATAGAGAAACAGGCACTTGCATACACTACTGGTGGAAAAGTGCCACCATTGGTGTGTTTTATCAGTATGTGCTACTTTTTAAAATATTTGCGCACTCCTCAATATGGCAGGACCACTTCTGAGAATTTATGCTGCAGAAATAGTTGTTGTTGACACATAGATCTAAATATTACATAATCATCTTGACTTTTTTATGAAGGAATAAAAAATTGAAAATTCGTTCAAAGTCCATGAATAGGAGACTGGTTATATAGATGATGACTAAAATTTCCTTCTCTGTTATCATTAACTTTTTTCCTCTTCTAGGACACATACATACTTTTTCTCCCATCTTAAAGAAAATTACTTTTACCCTCAACCCTAACTACTGCTACATTTCTCTGACCTGGTACTGCAGAATTCCTCAAAAAGAAAGGTCTGTGTCATAGCCCCTAGTGCCTTTGCTTCTGTTCTTAGACCAGTTGTAGTCATTTTTAGCATCCCTACTCTATCAGAACTGCTGTTGTAAAAGTCACATTTCTAAATTCGGTTGTTGGTTTTCAGGCCTCATCTCGCTTGGCTTCAACTTTTTCCCAATTTCATTCATTAGTTCCTCCTCTTTTTTTTTTTTTTCCTGGGTGTTGAAGCCACAAACCAGAAGTAGAAGGAAGTAGAGCAGTGGGGATGATGCTTTGGGGCTGGTGACTTGAGTTTGTGCCTACTCAAGTCTTTGTAAAACCTTGACTTTTCGTTCTGGCATTTACATATTACTTCCCCTCCACATTGCACTTGTTCCTTCCTCTTACATTAAGATGAACTCAAGTCTAAGAAGTAATGATCACACAAACTGGAAATGTAGTTTCTAGATGATATGTGAAAGAATGTATTGAAAGTGTTTCTGTAACTGCCTTCTGCCATTTTCTGTAAGGTGACCAACATAGAACTTTTTAAGATTTATTTATTTTACTTGGAAGAGTTACAGAAAGGCAGAGGCAGAGAGAGAGAGAGAGATGTCTTCCATTCACTGGTTCATTCCCCAAATGGCTGCAACAGCCAGAGCTGTGTTGATCTGAAGGCAGGAGCCAGGAGCTTCTTCCAGGGCTCCCATGCGGGTGCAGTGGCCCAGGGACCTTGGACCATCCTCTACTGCCTTTCCAAGCCATAGCAGAGAGCTGGGTCAAAGTGGAGCAGCCAGGGCTTGAACCGACGCCCATATGGGATGCTGGTACTGCAGGCGGTAGCTTTACCAGCTACACTACAGTGTCTATCCAACTCTCTGCACTTCTTATCCAGCTCTCTGCTAAGGGCCTGGGAAAGCAGTGGAGGGTGGCCCAAGTGCTTGGGCCCCTGCAACCAAATGGGAAACCCAGAAGAAGCTCCTGACTCCTGCCTTCAGATGGGCCCAGCTCCGGCCATTGCGGCCATCTAGGGAGTGAACATAAAACTTTCCAGGAGGCAGAGTACAGGCTCTGTGGTTAGATGGCATACGTTTAAACCTCAACATCAATGCTGTAGCACATTATAGACAGAGAACCTTGAACCAGACACAGAACTGCCCAAAGCTTTAGTTCCTTATCTATAAAACTGGGACACCAATAGTGCCCACCCTTTAGGATTAATAACCACAGAGTGAAATCTTCAGATTTATAATTTCTCATCTGAGGGGTTTGTCGATATCATGGGGAGTGTCTTACTCAGGAGCTGATTTGTCTCTCCATTGGAGTCTCTGCCACCCCCACCCCCACCCTGCCTTTTAATTTGAGAAACAGAAACCTCCCATCCACTGGTTCTTTCCCCAAATGCCTACAGTGGCAAAGCCTGGACTGGCTGAAGCCAGGAGCTAGGAACTCGATCCAGTTATCCCCAGGGGTGGCAGGAAGCCATTTACTTGAGCCATCACTTCCTGTGTGTCATGGTCGGTATTAGCTGGAGCTGGGAATTGAACACAGGCACTCTAATAGGATGTGGGCATCTTAAGTTGGCGTCTTAATTGCTAGGCCAAAAGCCTGCATCTCTTTTTATACAATAACTTGACTTGTAGGATTCAGTGGATGATCAGTGAGACTGGAGCAGGGCTGGAGCATTCGTGTAGTACTGGAATCCATAAGGGTTGTTAAAGGCCAAATAGTGGCTATTTAAAACTTTAAATCCCTTTCTTGTTGATGAGTCTTATATTTTTCTCAAGTAGTTTTTATGTTATAATTCATAAAGTGAACTTAAATATTAATTTAGCCTTTAATCATAATGCTAAAAATGTGAACAGCTCTTAGTGTTCAGCTTAATTAGTTTTTTTTTTTTTATTTTAAAGATTTATTTATTTGAGGCAGAGTTACAGTCAGATCTTCCATTTGCTGGTTCACTATCTAGATGGCCGCAATGGCTGGAGCTGGGCCCATCTGAAGACAGGACCCAGGAGCTTCTTCTGGGTCTCCCACATGGTTGCAGAGGCCCAAGCACTTGGGCAACCCTCCACTGCTTTCCTAGGCTATTAGCAGAGAGCTGGATAGGAAGTGCAGCAGCCGGGACTTGAACTGGTGCCCATATGGGATGCCGGCACTGCAGGTGGAGGCTTAGCCTACTATACCACAGCACTAGCCCTGCTTAATGAAGTTTTACCAATGCATTATGTTCACATAACCACCACCGAAATCAAGATAGAAAGTGTGATGGTTGCCCCAGAAATCTCCTTTGTTGTCTTTGCCTGTCGTTCCTCCACCCAAGCGTTAGCACTCTAGTGACTTGTCTCAATAGATTTAATTTTGCTGGTATTTGAACCTTATAGATGTTGTATTCATACATGATGTTTTCTTTGGTGTATATGGCTTTTTTTCCCCACTTATCATTATTGGATTTTTCCCTTTTGGGTTTAGTAGTAGTTCATTCTCTTTCATTGCTGAATGGAACTATATCATATGATAATTTACCCATTCTACTGTGAAGTTAGGTTGTTTCCAGGTTTTGGCTCTCATGAATGGTGCTGCTATGAACATTTTTTTTCAGGGAGGGAATGGTGACTAACTTGAAACTGTAACACAATTTATACCATTAGTCTAAAGAAAAAAAACTAGCTTTGAAAAAAGCTGTATGTGTATGAAGATGTGGATGTAAAACTGTTAATAATATAAATTATAAACAGTAAAGAACTAGAAGATACATTCAGGAAAATGTTAAGCAGCTATTAAAGTGGTCCTGGGAGGATCTAGAAGCATAGGAAAATGCAGTGGTATAATGTCACATGAAAGAGCAATGTACAAAATATACCCATTCAGTACAGCTTTGTTCACAATAGTAAGAAATGTGACGTTATGGAACTGACAAGTTATCTTAGAATGATAGACTTTAGTTTTTTTTGTTGTCAGACTTACTTCCTTTTTTAATGAATGAACACCGATGCAATTTATTTTGATTTATAAGAGTAACTTCTTTTTTTTTTTTTTTTTTTTTTGACAGGCAGAGTGGACAGTGAGAGAGAGAGACAGAGAGAAAGGTCTTCCTTTGCCGTTGGTTCACCTTCCAATGGCCGCCGCGGGCGGCGCGCTGCGGCCGGCGCACCGCGCTGATCCGATGGCAGGAGCCAGGAGCCAGGTGCTTTTCCTGGTCTCCCATGGGGTGCAGGGCCCAAGCACCTGGGCCATCCTCCACTGCACTCCCTGGCCACAGCAGAGAGCTGGCCTGGAAGAGGGGCAACCAGGACAGAATCCGGCGCCCCAACCGGGACTAGAACCCAGTGTGCCGGCGCCGCTAGGCGGAGGATTAGCCTAGTGAGCCGCGGCGCCGGCCTTATAAGAGTAACTTCTAAGTGTGACAAATTAAATACATCAATTCTGAATTTGGAAAGTATAATGAAGAAAGATTCAAACTTTGTTTAGTGCTGTTACTTTAAAATTTTATATTTATAAAAGTTTTTTTTTCATTCTAAAAGTCAGGCACATAGATTTGTTGGAAAATACAGAAAAAGATGAAAAAACTTGTAAGGGGTTCTGGACCCATCTCCCCAAACCACCACTGTTCCTATTTTTGATGTGTTAAAAATTCAGTGTTATGTTTAAAGAGTTCCCAGACTGTTTCTAACGTGTTGTTGTGTTTCCATTCAGGTCCTGAAAATCCTTGGTTGGTTCAAGCTTATGTTTCAGCAGCAAAACACCCTTTTGCTTCTGTAGTGGCTCAGGAGGTGTTTCAGAGTGGAATCATTCCCTCGGATACCGACTTTCGCATCTACAGGGATTTTGGGAACATTCCAGGTATTTGTCAGTGGTTATGGGCTACTATACCACTCTAAGTTACCAAAAGCAAGTCCTACTTGTTGAAAGTTTGTGAGTAAACAGTGTTTTATGTGAGCAAATTCTCTGTGAGCTACACATTTTGACTCACTGAAACAGGGTTCCTAATTTTTTCTTTTTTTTTAAATAAAAAATGCATTTATTTCTTTGAAAGGGAGAGTGACAGAGCGAGAGCAAGAGAGATTTTCTCCATCTACTAGTTTACTCCCCAAATGGCTGGGACTGACCAGGCCGAAGGCAGAATCTGGGAACTCCATTTGGGTCCCCGTGCAGTGGCAGGGGTCCAAGTACTGGGGCTATCCTCTGCTGCTTTCCCAGGCACACCAGCAGGAAGCTGGATTGGAAGTGGATCAGCCAGGACTCCACTCCTACAGTGCCTTCATTGTAAGCAGTGGCCCAGCCCACTGCACCACAACACTGGCCCCTAATGCTTTCTTTTCTAAACTGCATGTTAATTTAAATGTTTGCCTTGTCCAGGAGATATCATTTTGCCTCGCAGTGTGACACAATGGAGGAGAACTGTTTAATTCCCAAAAGACAGTGCATAGTTCCTGCAGGGGTCTTTGACTTTCATTGTGATTGTCTTGTTTTGGCATCTTCTATAGCTTATTTGAGGTTAAAATTTGGCTTTGACCTGGAAGGATATGGATAGTAGCCTTGATCACCTCCCGAACTCAGTGTTTCTACCCCTTGCCATATAACTTGAAATGCCTCCCTGTGGACTAGTATACATTATGTGCCAAAGCTATGGCTTCTAAACAAAGTTGGAAGACAGTTTACATTGTCTATTCATAAATGTGACAGAGTAATCATACCACTACTTTGACATTCTGGCTTTTAGAATTTAATATATTACACAAATAGGCCCAGAGCAAGGTTGAGTTTTAAAGCAAAATGACTTTTTTCTATTTGTTTTAGGAATAGACTTAGCTTTTATTGAAAATGGATACATTTATCACACCAAGTATGACACAGCAGACAGAATTCTAACGGATTCCATTCAGAGAGCAGGTTGGTATCCCAACAGAGGTTTTTGATACATGGTAAGATGAAATATTAGGGATGACTTATAAACCTGAAAAAAAGCTGCCAATAGAGAGGCAGTATATGATGTGAATGAGCTAGGACTTGGGAATGGAAGAGGCAGGAGTTTGAATTTAGTCTTATAGTCTAATATAGCAGATGAGAACAAAGGAATATTTGTTGTAAGGAACTGGAAGAGGAGCTGACGGGGGGTTATGGTAGGATTGCTGAGTGATAGGAGTACAGCCAGAGTGAAAGCCGTGAGTTGGAGGTGGCCCCAGGATACACAGCTAGAAAACAGGCTGACTCATGGTTGGGGAGGGCAAGTGAGAGGGTTCTAGGACAGAAGGCAGAGGGAGACACGGGGCTTCTAAGTGCTACGTATGTCTGATGCTGAATCTTGAAGAGTTACCAGGGTTCGGCTTGTGTAGAAAAGGGGAAGTTACACGCAAGAGCCCGGAATGAGTAGGGTGTGTTCGTGCATGGGAAGCTGTTGATGGGTAGAGTGTCAGACTATGATGGAAACAGTGTTTCCTAAAACAGAGAGGAATGGGGTAGAGTGTAGTGTATGGGAAGGAGAAGATGGCAGAAGACTTTAAAAATCTGTAAGATTTTTATACTGTAAGAATAAGGAACCCCTGCAGGCCGGAGTCCATGAGTGAACTCAGTAAGATGGTTGTAAGTGCTCTTAGTCTGGTGATGCCGGGTGGAATAGATGGTATAGGGAAGAAAGCCAGAACTCAGGGCCGTTGGAGGGGTCCGCGAACCAGTCTGATGAAAAGGGAAGTAGTATTAGAGCTCCTGGCCAAACTGGCTGTGTAGTTTGTGAAAAACGGGGCTAGAGCAAACAACACAAGTATGGAGAATGGACATTTTGGGGGCGAAGAGTAAAGCAAAGGTAGTGGACAAAGATTTGAGTTTTGAGTAGGATATTTTGAGGCAGATGGAAAAGCCAGTGAGAGAAGTCTGGTGGGAAGAGTGTTTATCTTAATGGGGACAAAAAGAGAAAGTCAAGGATGGGATGAGCAGCAGAAGAAAAGCACATCATTCAGGGCTGCTTATTGTTCCCACATTCAAGTTTAAACTCACTCATTCTTGGATTGATACAACTGATATTTACTATATTTAGTATAGGCTTTCTTTTTTTAAGATTTATTTACTTATTTGAAGGCAGATATGTAGAGAGGCAGAGGCAGAGAGAATGTGAGAGGTCTTCTATCCACCAGTTCACTCCTCAGATGGCCGCAACGGCTGGAGCTGCGCTGATCTGCAGCCAGGAGCCTGGGGGTTCTTCTGGGTCTCCCACTCAGGTGCAGGGGCCCAAGCATTTGGGCCATCTTCTGCTATCCCAGGCCATAGCAGAGAGCTGGATTGGAAGAGGAGCAGCTGGGACTAGAACCGGTGCCCATATGAGATGCTGGCACTACAGGCAGCAGCTTTACCTGCTACACTACAGTGCTGGCCCCTACTCTAAACCTTTTAAATACCAGATTTCGCTAGATAATGACTTTCTCTCTGCTTCTTCCGTGTCTTGACTGAATACTTTGTTTCCCCGTTCAGGACTGTTTCCTGTATTTGGAAGTGTTGCATCCCAGTTTTGACAATCTTCCCCCATTTTGGCTAGCTCCTATCCATTTAGGTATCAGTATGACTTCCTTGGGGAGACTCCCCTGACTTCCACAGTGCCAGTCATCTCCCATGATATGTTCCTGTGCAGCTCTCCTGTCTCCTCATTCATTCTTAATTTACTTGGAAAAACTTGTTCTGTTTCTGTGAGCTTCACGGGAGACCTTTGTCTCTTGGTTCACCACTGAATTACTGATACCTAGAATGAGTCTGGCAGTTCACATATATTAAATGGGGACTAAGAAATAGCCTTTGGGTTTGTCTACAGTGAGGGCACACCTGATGGCAGGGAAAGGTTGTAACAGAAGGGAAGGAACAAAGGCCAACTGGCCGAGCTCCCAGGTGGAGAGGAAATGGAGCAGAGGAGCATAGACTTGGAGAAAGTCACTAAGAAAAGTTGCAGAGAGCAGTAGGGTCTTAGGAAGCTCCATTGGTTTATGTTCTTTCTAGCTCATTCTTTGTTGAAATAGTAGATGGCTTATTGCTGCTTAAATTGTTGTATGTGTAAATCTTATTTAGATACTCAACTTATTTTTCTCTACTAATAGGTGACAACATTTTAGCAGTTCTTAAATATCTGGCGACATCTGAGATGCTGGCTACTTCTTCTAAGTACCAACATGGAAACATGGTTTTCTTTGATGTGCTTGGCCTCTTTGTCATTGCCTACCCCTCTCGAGTCGGCTCGATAATCAACTACATGGTGGTAATGGCTGCTGTTTTGTACCTGGGCAAAAAACTGTTCCAGCCCAGACATAAAAGTAAGTCTTTTCCTCTAAAATTAAAATAATGGCATAGTTGTGGGATTTGCTGGAAGTTTTTTAGTCAGTTTGTTTATATCTTAAGCAAATGATATCCTAAGTGATGTTAAGAGTAATGTTTGATTTGAATTGTAAGGAATTCCTAAATAAGTATTAAGATACTCATTATGCTTTCAGTATATATTTACATACTCCATAGAAGTACAACATAGGAGTTACTGAAAAGTGGTTGTGTAGATTTGCTTCAAGTAGGTAGTCCCATTAAAAAGTCATTTCCACACTACAGACAATAGCACACTGATTTGAAGTACCAGTGAGTTGCTTTTGGGAAATTTGATACTTTTTGCATGACGTGTTTCTACTTGAAATGTTTCAGAATCTAAGTTGTTACGTGTTGTTACAAGAGGAAATATTTAGTAGCAATTTAATTTTTTAAATTGAAAGGCAGACACAGAGCAAAGGGTGAGAGAGAGGTTTCATGTCTCAGATTACTCCTCAGATGCACACAGCAGCTGGGGTCAGGCCCGACCAAAGCCAGGAGACAGGAACTCAGTTTGGATCTCTCATGTGGGTGGGGCGATCAAGCACTTGAGTCATCTGCTGCCTCCCAGGATTCACATGAGCCAGCATGGAAGGGAAGCTGGGTCTCGGGCCCAGGCATTCCAGTACGGGATGCAGGCATTTCTTTTTCTTTTCTTTTTTTTCTAGAAACCTTTTATTTAAGGTATACAAACTTCATGTATTTCATAAAGATTAACCCCACACTAAATGCAGAGTTCAACAAATAATATGGAAAATAAAACAGAAAGTGTTCCTCAACAGTTGAGCCAAGGGCTGTAAACAATCAGCACATCTCAGAGTGTCAATTTAAATTACGTAGATTACCTTCTAGGTATTCTGTTAGTTACCATGGATCAAGGAGAACATACGATAATTCTTTTTGGGACTGGCTTATGGGATGCAGGCATTTCAAGTGGTGCCTTAATCACTATGCCAAATGCCCATCCCTTTAGTACAGTTTGAATAATCCTTTATCACTTGTTCTTTTTCCCGTGGTCCTAATCTTATGTTAGCTTTTAAAAGCAAGATTTTATATTGAACTCTGCCTTCAATTCTTGGTAATTTTTAAAAAAGATTTGTTTACTTATTTGAAAGTCAGAATTAGAGGGGGAGAGAGAGATTTTCCATCCACTGGTTCACTCTCCAAAAGGCCGCAATGGCTGGAGCTGGGCTGATCTGAAGCCAGGAGCCAGGAGCTTCTTCCGGGTCTCTCACAAAGGTGCAGAGGCCCAAGCACTTGAGCCATCCTCCCCTGCTTTCCCAGGCCGTTAGCAGGGAGCTGGATCAGAAGTAGAGCAGCCAGGACTTAAACCAGTGCCCATGTGGGGAGCTGGCACCACAGGCAGAGCCTTAATCTTCTGTGCCACAGCACCAGCCCCCTTGGTAATATTTTGATAGACAAAGCATCCCAAAAGGGGATGAAGACTGAGACTCAGTCACACTTCCCTAGGAAGGAATGTATCCGAACCACCCTGAAAGACTGACCCCTTTGAGTCTTTAGTTTCCACAGACTCTCAGTAAATGGTGCTTGACTATTACCCCCTGATACTTTTCTAGTTCTAGTGTTTACCAAACCTCAACACTGGGACACTCTAGTACTTTTCACTTATGATGGTGAGGGGCCAGCGTTATGGTGTGTGGATAAAGCCATTACATGTGATGCTGGCATCCCTTGTGGGCACTGGTTCTTGTCCCAACTGCTCCCTTCCTGTCCAGCTCCCTGCTGATGGCCTGGGAAAGCAGGGGAAGATGATGCAAGTGTTTGGGCCCCTGCATCCAAGTGGGAGACCCAGATGAAGCTCCTAGTTCATGGCTCCTGCCTGACCCTGCTCTGGCTGTTGTGGCCATCTGGGGAGTGAACCAGCAGATGGGATATCCCTATCTGTCCCTCTCTCTCTCTGTAACTCTGACTTTTAAATAAACCTTAAAAAAATTATAGTGGTGTATTTTTTAACATTTGTCTTGTTGTCTCTACTAACTGGTTATGTAATTGATTTGATGAAGATGCTGATCAACTTTGTTTTCTTTTCATTAGCTGTCAACTACACGAAAGACTTCCTGTGTGGACTTGGCATCACCCTGATTAGCTGGTTCACTAGCCTTGTTACGGTTCTCATTATAGCAGTGTTCATCTCTCTCATTGGACAGTCTCTCTCATGGTATAACCACTTCTATGTCTCCGTTTGTCTGTATGGAACAGCTGCTGTAGCCAAAATAATACTCATACATACCCTTGCAAAAAGATTTTATTTCATGGTGAGTGTTTGGTATGTTTATTGATTCCTTTCTTTCTGCCTGCAATGATTAAGACGAACTCAAGTGAGATTCATTGTAGTTGGCCTTTTGAGCATGGTTATAGGATGCACTTGCACAGCTGTGCTAGTTTTTGGGAAGAGTTCTTACTCTGTTAGGGCTGTGTTGCAGAATTCCGTTGTGGTCACAAAGCTAGCTGTGAGCAGTGCTTGGTGTGGTGGTGCCGGTGAGGCTTGGCCGCAGTCTGCCTCCGCTGTGTTGGCTGCAGCGGGCTCACGGTGCTTTACAGCCTGCCACCCTTCCTGCGCTCACCTGGGCTTCGTGTTTGTTTCTGCCCTAAACTGGAACATACACCTCAGGAAGGGAGGGATTGTTTGAATCATTGCTGTACCCTGTTCATAGGCAGTGTCTGACATATAGCAGCAACACACACTGAGCATCTGTTGTCTAAAAGAGTATTTTTACATGACTTTTTTGCTTTCACAGATTTTTTAATTTTAATTTTTAAATTTTAATTAGTTTTTTTTAATATAATCAGTGTGATTTGTATTTACAATTCTAAGAACTTAATGATATTCCCTTCTTCCCTCTCTGCCTCCCTCCTGCCCTCCTTCCTTCTCCCTTTTTTTTTTTTTTTTTTTTTAGTTTTTGGGATAAGCCTTTTTACTCTAATGCAAATTTAAAATGTTAATACTTCACCCCCTAATTTAGTGGGAATATAGACAATGGCTATAAACAATAATTGACAGGGAAAATGACCATTTCACCCATATACAGTACATTTTAAGGTAATCACAGATCATTAAAACTGTACTAGTATAATATTCTTAACCATTGGTTTAACAAAGGTAAAAGACAGTTTTACAAAACTATATTTGCAGCAATAATGATAAATAAATGTTTTTGGTTTGTTTACATTTTAGTTCCCCACATATAAGGGAGAACATGCAGTTATTTGTCTTCTTGGGTCCAGCTTATTTCAGTCATCATGTCTTCCAATTGTATCCATATCAGAATTTCATTCTTTTTTATAGCTGATATTATAATACTCCATGTGTATACATGCCACATATTTTTATGCATTCATCTGATGGATGCCTTGGTTGATTGCAAATTTTGGCTATTGCCTTCACTTTTATTTTTAATCTGGGTTGCTGATACACATGCTGAGAGCATGTACGTGTGGCATTGGAGTTAAAGATATATTGCCATGAGGAAAGGGAGGCAAAATAGGGTTCCAAATGACTGATTTTTTTCAAAGAATACTATAATACTGTTATAGTTTCAACTACAAATTTATTGGAAAAAATAAAATTAGGAATTAAGGTTATGAAATAATAGAATTAAATAACTTATATTGAAATAAATGTTGCAATTTTTGATTTTCTAAGCAAATTGAAGGGAAAAGTATTTTTTTAAAAGATTTATGTATATATTTGAAAGCCAGAGATAGAGGAGAGAGGGAGATCTTCCATCCACTTCCATTCAAGATAGAGAGGTTCACTCCCCAAATGGCTGCTGTGGCCAGAGCTGGGCCAGGCTGACGCCAGGAGCCAGGAGCTTCTTCCAGGTCTCCCACATTGGGGCCGGGACCTAAGTACTTGGTCCCTGCTTTCCCAGGCTCATTAGCAGGAAGCTCGGTTAGAAGTGGAGCACCCGGGACTTAAACAGGGGCTTATATGAAATGTCGGCGCTGCAGAGGCTTAACCTTCTGTGCCATAATGCCAGCCCCAGGGAAAGTATTTCTCAGCTCCATTGCTTCCACAACAGCCCGAATAGCCAAAATGCACTGAATTTTTCTTTTTCCCTATTTGTCCTGATAGGGATTCTCGTGAAGGCATGGAAGATTTGGTGCTGAGTCATGGTCTCATATTAGTTAATGTTGGGGTGGGGTTTGAAGAACCCTTGCATGTAGGCAGGTCCTATTTTTTTTTTTTTGAAGACTTAAGAATTTATTTATTTGAAAGAGTTACAGAGAAGGAGAGACTAAAGCAGAGAAATCTTCCACCCACTTGTTCCCTCTGCAGATGGCTGCAATGGCCAGGCTGAAGCCAGGAGCCAGGAGCTTCATCTAGGTCTTCCTCATGGGTACAGGGGCCCAAGCACTTGGGCCATGTTCCACTGCTTTCCCAGGGGCATTAGCAAGGAATTTGATTGGAAGTGGAGCAGGCAGGACTTAAACTGGTGCCCACATGGGAAGCCAGCACTGCATTATGCCACAGTGCCAGCCCCAGGCAGGTCATATTGAAGACAGGTTCTTTTAGGTGAGCCAGCCGCTGTGGTTGAGCTCAGAGTTAGTGGCATCAGTTTCCAAAAGAATTACACCATGCTTATTCTTAGGTTGTAGTCAGTGCATCTGATCATTGCGGATTGGGGAAGGGGCGGGATGCAAATGCTTAGGAAAATTCCATTCACTTTTACTGATTTCACTTGTCTTTTCCTAACACTTCGTGCTAGAAGCACAGTGGAATGAGTGTTTCACTTTAATTTTATACATATTCTTGAAGCATTCAGTGGGCATGCTCAGGCCTGGTGGTAGGAGATTCCTAAGAGTGAGATTACCATTTCGGGGAGCTCACAAGTGCATTCAGATGTGGGATGATAACGATTGGAACACATTGTGGAATGGAGGGGAAGAGACTAACTAGACAGTGCTACACAGCATTGCAGGGCAGAGGGATGAGGGTTGCTTGTAGAGTGAAGAAGGTGTCATGAGGGGATGCTGATACTGGAACAAGGTTTTTGAAGGATGCTTAGAGGTTGACCAGATGAACAACAGGATGATGAACAGTCACATGGAAATGTACTAGGTGCATTTGGGTCATAGACATAAAAATGTCCAACATGGAGAAGACAATGGCTAGAAAAATAGGTGGTAGTCAACTAGGAGTGTGACTGTAAAAATCAGTGGGGCCATAATTAAAATTTTCTGAGTAGGACAGTGAGCAAGAGATTTCTTAATTTTGTGAGAAAATACTAGTCAGTATATAGAATAATGGTAATGGGACAGGGATGAGAGGGTTAAATAGAGGTGAGAATGAAAATAGATTTGATAGGTGTTTATTTAACCTTTGATAAGCTTTGGGCACTTAATGTAAAAACATTTTGTTACTTCAATTTTCATTGCTGTGTGGTTTTCAGTTTCAAATAGAATTCTAAGAATTACTATTTAAAATTTGTTTATTTGAGAGGCAGAATTACAGACAGAGAGGGTAAAACAGAGAGATCTTCCATCTGCTGGTTCATTCCCCAAATGGCTGCAATGGCTGGAGCTGGGTTGATCTGAAGCCAGGAGCTTTTTTCAGGTCTCCCACGGGGGTGCAGGGGCTCAGGGACTTGGGCCATCATCTACTGCTTTCCCAGGCCACAGCAGAGAGCTGGATCGGAAGTGGAGCAGCTGGAACTTGAACTGGTGCTCACGTGGGATGCTGGTGCTGCAGGCAGTGGCTTTACCTGCTACACCACAGCACCAGCCCCAGAATTATTTTTTTCTTTTTAAGCACTAAGCCTATTTCTCTCCACCCCCACACCCAGTTTATTTTGAGAGTTACAGAGAGCGAGATCTTCCATCTGCTGGTTTACTCCCCAAATGACTGAAAAGGCCAACACTGGGCCAGGCTGAAGCTAGGAGCTTCTTCTAGGTCTCTCACATGGGTGGCAGGAGCCTGAGCACTTGGGCCATCTTCTGCCACTTTCCCAGACACATTAGTGTAGAGCTGGATCGGAAGTGGAGCAGCTGGAATGCCATCTGGCATCCATGTGGAATGCTGGTGACACTGCGCAGACCCAGTTCAACACTGCTGAACATCTAAGTATTTAACAACTATAGCTGATCTTTCATTGGCCAAAGAATGGGCTGTTGAATGAACCTTGTTTTAAAAACATATGACAAACTCTTTTGAATTCTTGAGATGGGGGTCCCTTAAAACACACATGTTCTGAGATACACAGAAATGGGAAGTCAGAGGAAGGAGAAACTTCAATGGATATGTTTGCATGTTGGTATGAATACACTGTGACGTCCATGTTCATATTAATAGAACCTGTGCAGATATTAGGATGGCGTCAGCTCTGCTTTCTTCTGAGGAGCACACAGGAACCCTTGGCAACTCCAAGTCTCAAAGGTGAAATTTCCTAACATGAAAGCACCAGGGCTAGAAGTGGCTGATGCAGTGCAGGAGCAGTTGGAGATACAGGAGAGGCAGGAAATCAAGCTAACCCTAGAGGGCCATTGCTTTCGCGGTCTCGCGGGTTTTAGGGGGCGCTGCTGGGGTCCTGCAGCAGCTGTCATGTTCCTTCACGGGTCATTTCCCTGTTGTGCTTGAGGAGTCTCTGCAAGTCGTCACGAACAGAAAAGCTTATACACATTGATGTTTTCCGGGGAGTCCTTTCTTCTATCTCAGACCATTTCCTGTGCAGTAATTTGAACTATTTCATGATAAAAGTTAGCTTTGCCAGTGTTTACTTTGTTTGAACAGTAGACCCTGCTTAAAACAAAATGCAGCTCTCTCGAGCAGTGAGAATTGTTGCAATACATGATCTTTGTGAATGCCCTGTGAGTGAGACTGCATGTGTAATGTTCTTTCTTTCAGAATGCCAGTGACCAGTATCTGGGAGAAGTATTTTTTGACATCTCGCTGTTTGTGCATTGTGGTTTTCTTGTAACCCTCACTTATCACGGACTTTGCTCAGCATTCGTTAGTGCTGTCTGGGTAGTGTTTCCATTGCTCACAAAGCTTTGCGTGCACAAGGACTTTAAGCAGCATGGTAGGATACTTTTGTTTATGATACAAATGGAAAAAATACCTTAAAATACATAAGTTATAGCTTCTACAGTCAATTGATTTTCTAAGTTGTTTATTTTTTAAATTTTCATACCACTCAGATGTGTATTTTATACCCCATTGCATTCTGATTTTGAACATATACTAATGATGCATTGAATTTGTATTTTCTTACTTGAATTTTTCCTGAGTGAAAGTGTCTTATCTCACTAGATAACAGTGCCTAAAGGACACGTCACCTCTAACCTAATTTGTTAGGTGCCAAGGTCCACCAGTTCTAATAAATCTTATCTCCCTGTGAATTTCACAGACGTGTGTTTTCCTTTTTTCCTTAGGTGCCCAAGGAAAATTTGTTGCTCTTTACCTTTTGGGGATGTTTGTCCCTTATCTTTATGCACTGTACCTCATCTGGGCGGTGTTTGAGATGTTTACCCCCATCCTTGGGAGGAGCGGCTCGGAAATCCCACCTGATATCGTGCTGGCATCCATCTTGGCTGGTTGTACGATGATCCTCTCTTCTTATTTTGTAAGTAAAATATCTTGTTTTTCATTTTAAAAAGATGATGAATTTGAGAGGCAGAGAGACAAATAGACATTTGGTTCACTCTCCAGATGCCTGCAGCAGCCCAGGCTGGGATGTAGGGCTAGAGCCAGGAGCCAGGAACTCATTCAGTCTAGGTCCCTCACATGGGTGGCACTGACCCAGCCACTTGAGCCATCACCTGCTACCTCCTAGGGTCTGCACTGGCGGGAAGCAGAAGCGGCAGCAGGGCTTGGACTCAAACCCAGGCACTCTGATAGGGGACACAGGCGTCCTAACTTGGGTTTAACTACTAGGCCCTTTTTCATATGGAAATGTGACAAGTTTAACCGTATTAGGTTCTATGAATAGCACTGCTTAGACTTTATTGAGGAAGTATTGAGCAAATAAAATGGTGAATGGCTGGGTGTCTTGTGGGTTCACGTTAGTTAAGAAGTAGGAGTTTTTTTGTGGCTGCATTTGAAAATTTTTAAATGTTTGCTTCTCCATCCTTCCAGATCCTATGATTATGTGTTTTAGACTTTTCAAACTACCTGAATGTGAATCTGTAGCATGAATACCACGTGAGGACTGTTACATGCTGCCCTGCAGTGAGCTTTCAGAAAGGTCACTAACAGTGTTCTGATGACAGCACTAGTAAATACACGGAGGCTTTGTGCAGTTTGGTGTGAATGAGGCCTTTTCATGATGTCAGGGTTCATTCACTGCATCCGTCTCCTTGGGGCGTGCATCATGCACACCTGTGATCCCCAAGCATGCTTGCATCTACTGAGAAGGCAACACAGTCACAGGCTTTGTCAGTCCTTGTTGGTACTGTCCGTGTCCTGCCCTAGGAAGTAGGTTCCTCCCTTTGCGCTCATCTTCCCTTGGAACGCTCCAGAGGACAGGGACAGTGATGCAGTTTCAGAGCACACTCCCCTTTGGTAGAGCCAGTGCTGGGCATTTTCCACTCTTGGCATAATGTCCACATGTCCAGGTCTTGGGTCTAGCTGCCCTAGGAAGGAAGGCCTATGTTTTGTGGCACTTTCAGGTTGGAATTCTTAAGAATGAATTCTTGCATGCACATAACTCTGCCTTGAGATGTGAGGCTAGGGGGTCGAACAGAAAGCCGGGGCCTTACTATCGTCCTTTCCCTCAGGGAGAGAACAGTGAGCCTTTTCAGACTGATGCAGCAAAGGGCATCTCTGGTGCAGGTTAGGTTCTAGAGACAAAAGGTGAGACAGGGTCAGCATCATCTTTGGAAGTCCTTAAATAGCCAGCAATGCTCACTCTGTGACCATGTGTATGTAGCTTTGTGGAATAACTCTTACACCCATTGTCATTTGAGGTCAGCTGTGTTAGTCTTAAAAGAACTTGAGTGTTCTTTTTTAAAGATTTATTACTTTATTTGAAAGTCAGAGTTCAATAGAGAGAGAAGGAGAGGGAGAAAGAGGTCTTCCATCTGCTTGTTTGCTCCCCAATTGGCTGCAACAGCCAGAGCTGCACTGATCCAGAGCCAGCAGCTTCTTCCCGGTCTCCCACGAGGATAGGGCCTAAGGACTTGGGCCATCTTGTACTGCTTTCCCAGACCACAGCAGAGAGCTGGATCGGAAGTGGAGCAGCCAGGACTCGAACTGGGGCCCATATGGGATGCCAGCACTGCAGGCGGCAGCTTTACCCGCTATACCACAGTGCTGGCCCCTATACTTTTTTTTTTGACAGGTAGAGTTACAGAAAGAGAGAGAGAAAGGTCTTCCTTCCGTTGGTTCACTCCCCAATGGCCACTGCCGCTGGTGCTGCACCAATCCAAAGCCAGGAGCCAGGTGCTTCTTCCTGGTTTCCCATGCGGGTGCAGGGACCCAAGCACTTGGGCCATCCTCCACTGCCCCCTGGCCCACAGCAGAGAGCTGGACTGGAAGAGGAGTAACCGGGACTAGAACCCGGCGCCCATTTGGGATGCTGGCACTGCAGGCGGAGGATTAACCAAGTGAGCCACGGCGCTGGCCCCAAGCCCCTATACTTTTTAAGATAATGATTCTATCTTTACTGATACTGGTAGAGATGTATGGAAAGTTCTAAAATGCTCTGTTACCTGTAGGTCTTATTTCTTTTGGATTTAATGTTAACCTTTAAATCCCCTCTTTAATAGATAAATATTTGTTGATAGATTTGCCGTAGTAAGGATTAAAGGAGATAATGGTTGATCCGTAGATTGGGTTTGAATTTAAAGTCACTTAAGTTATAAACTGCCCCCACCCGTATTTATTAAATTATAGTCATGAAGGGAAGCTGTTGATGCCCATAAAAGGTGGCTAAAATGTGGGATTTGAATTAAGTCCCATTTATTACTTGTAAGGGGGGGGGCACAATGAACCCTGAAAGCTTTTATCATGGAAATGTAAAACGACCCCAAAGGATGGAAATTGTGGAAGTCAGGAGTGTATTATTATTTTGTTTTTTAAGATTTATTTTTATTTATTTGAAAAACAGAGTTACAGAGAGAGGCAGAGACAGAGTTCTTCCATCCGCTGGTTCATTCCCTAGATGGCTGCAACGGCCAGAGCTGCTCTTATCCGAAGCCAGGAGCTTCTTCCAGGTCTCCCACGTGGGTGCAGGGGCCCAAGGACTTGGGCCATCTTCTACTGCCTTCCCAGGCCATAACAGAGAGCTGGATTGGAAGTGGAGCAGCCAGGACAAGAACTGGCGCCCATATGGATGCCAGCACTTCAGACCAGAGCGTTAACCCGGTGTGCCACAGTGCTGGCCCCAGAGTTTATTATTTTCTGAATTACATCTTATCGGTAAGCTTTGGAAGAGAAGAGGGCCTCTTGGAATGCTTTAAAAAACTTTATAAAGGCCGGTGCTGTGGCTCACTAGGCTAATCCTCCGCCTGCGGCGCCAGCACCCTGGGTTCTAGTCCCAGTTGGGGCACTGGATTCTGTCCTGGTTGCCCCTCTTCCAGGCCAGCTCTTTGCTGTGGCCCGGGAGTGCAGTGGAGGATGGCCCAAGTACTTGGGCCCTGCACCCACATGGGAGACCAGGAGAAGCACCTGGCTCCTGGCTTCGGATCAGCGCAGTGCGCCAGCCGAAGAGCACTGGCCTCAGCAGCCACTGGGGGGTGAACCAACGGCAAAGGAAGACCTTTCTCTCTGTCTCTCTCACTGTCCACTCTGCCTGTAAAAACAAACAAACAACAAAACCCTTTTTTTTTTTTTTGACAGGCAGAGTGGACAGTGAGAGAGAGAGACAGAGAGAAAGGTCTTCCTTTGCCGTTGGTTCACCTTCCAATGGCTGCCGCGGGCGGCGCGCTGCGGCCGGCGCACCGCGCTGATCCGATGGCAGGAGCCAGGATCCAGGTGCTTTTCCTGGTCTCCCATGGGGTGCAGGGCCCAAGCACCTGGGCCATCCTCCACTGCACTCCCTGGCCACAGCAGAGAGCTGGCCTGGAAGGGGGGCAACCGGGACAGAATCCGGAGCCCCAACCGGGACTAGAACCCAGTGTGCCGGCGCCGCTAGGCGGAGGATTAGCCTAGTGAGCCGCGGCGCCAGCCTAGAAAACCCTTTATTAAATAATAGTAATTATTTCTAATGGGAAGCAGGTCTGCTTTTGGATGTCAGGGTATCATTCTCTCCATCATTGTCTTAGGAGTAGCAGTGTTAAAGATGGTGGCTTAGTAACAGAGTGAGACTGCTCTTGGTGATGGGGAATTGAACCACAGCATATACTTTGGAGAACTTTTATTCCTTAAGGATGTTTGCTATATTATTATTAATAATAATTCAATATGTTTGCTACAAAGTAATTGTCAAGTGATCAATTACCAGGTTTCCTGGGGACACTGTTTGCTGGGCTGTCAGGGATCTACTGAGTGAGAACTGAAATGGGACATGTGGGGAGTGAGCCAGTGGATTGGGAGATCTCTGTCATCTGTCCGTCTGCCTTTCAAATTAACAAACACAAATTTAGAAAACTAAGTATACTTAGGGTTTTCTAGATGGCAGCCTTGAGACTGAAGCATCCACTTGCTATCCCAGTTTAGATTTGTTAGGATTACGTTGGCACTGGTTCACTAGTCCCCTCGCCTGAAGGGACAGTGTTACCTGGCAGTGCAGTTTTTCTTAATATGCAGGTCCACAGGCAGTGTTGAAGGAGCATCTAAATCCTGGTTTAGCTGAATGTTAACATTTGACACATAACAACATTAGAATTTTATTACAATAGATTTCCTTAATATCTCTGGTTATGTACTGAAAGCCTGATGTCACTGCAGTTGAAGGGTATCTGCTGCGTGGTGTTTACTACAGCAGGGCACTGACAGAATCAGAAGTAAAATAAGGTCCTGGTTTGGCTGTTGATAGATCCACACCCTCTGTTCCCTTTCCTGATTGGGCCCAGGGACTCGGTGCTCGACTTCATTTCCCCTTTTGCTTTCTGGCCTCCTGTCCAAAGGCACGGCCCTGGCCTGCTGGGGCATCTGCCATTCATCGGGCTCTGACTTGTGATGGAAATTCCCTTGAATTCATGCTTTGTGTGTTGGGTGTTGGGTTATGATAAATATTCTTCCCTGCCAGATAATACCTGCTGAAAAATAAGTCAATGTGAAACATGGATGATTTGGTAAATTTTTTGGTTTTGTTTTGTAGATTAACTTCATCTACCTTGCCAAAAGCACCAAAAAAACCATGCTGTCTTTAACTCTGGTGTGTGCAGTTACGTTCCTCTTGGTTTGCAGTGGAACTTTTTTCCCATATTCCTCCAGTCCTGCCAGTCCAAAGCCAAAGAGGGTGTTCCTTCAGGTAAGGAAGAGCCAGCTCAGCTGAGCTATCTGAGGTTCAGGAAAGGAGAACCTTGAATGTGCACCGGTGTAGCCAGCTCTGCTGACTGCTGCTGCTGCCCTGGTTCACTGTATTCACTGTGTGTGTGGGGTGGGGGGGGGACAATGAGAAAGGCTGGTTATCAAGGGCATTCTTAGCAGCTGGACGGTGTAGTTCTCCCAGAGATGGAACTGGACATGTTCACATGTTTTTGTACTGTAGAAATGATCAAACTTCAGTGTGTGGGAAACAGTCTGTATCAGGGAATGATGAGCTGTTAGAAAAAGTGTCAGAATGTCTACAAACCAAACCAAGTTCTGAACTGCAAACTGGCAAAGTGTTTATTTGAAAATGGTAGTAACATTGATTTCAAGTAACATTCAAATATGTGATAATGGAAATATAGTATCTTAGAAATGGATTAGTAAGAGATTTAGAACTTCCTTTTGCTTTCAGTTTGTCTCTAAACTTTTCAGAGTTGGTGCCGTTAGAGCTGTAAGCCTCATTTCCAGTCATCTCTGTTGGAGATGTGGAGAGAGGCCCACTGTTTCTTGTTTGTTGTCCTAAGGGATATATGATGATAAATTTCTAACTTCAAAAGCTTTTAGCGAGGAAAAGTTTTTAGGACTCTTAGTGTGTTTTCAGTGACATGCTAATTTTAATAATCCTGTTAACAGTATTTAAGAAAAACCTAGTTTTTTATTTTTAAAGATTTATTTCTGAGGCAGGTACTAGCATCCTATATGGGCACCAGCTTATGTCCCGGCTGCTCCTCTTCCAATTCAGCCCTTGGCTGTGGCCTGGGAGAGCAGTACAGGACCACCCAAGTGCTGGGGAGATCCCGAAGAAGCTCCTGCCTCTGGGTTGGCCCAGCTCTGGCCTTTGTGGCCATTTGGGGAGTGAACCAGTGGACTGAAAATCTTTGTCTGTCTCCCCCTCTTTTTTTTTTTTTTTTGACAGGCAGAGTGGACAGAGACACAGAGAGAAAGGTCTTCCTTTTCCATTGGTTCACCCCACAATGGCTGCTGCAGCCAGCACACCGCGCTGATCTGAAGCCAGGAGCCAGGTGCTTCCCCTGGTCTCCCATGCAGGTGCAGGGTCCAAGCACTTGGGCCGTCCTCCACTGCACTCCCGGGCCACAGCAGAGAGCTGGACTGGAAGAGGAGCGACCAGGACAGAATCCAGCGCATGGACCGGGACTAGAACCCGGGGTGCCGGTGTCGCAGGCGAAGGATTAGCCTATTGAGCTGCGGTGCTGGCCCCCCTCTCTCTAACTCTACCTCTCAAGTAAATAAATCTTAAAAAAAAAATTTATTTGAAGAGCAGAGTTAGAACCAGATAGAGAGAGAGATTTTCCATCTGCTGGTTCACTACCCTAATGGCTGCAGCAGCTGGGTCTTGAACGGGCACCCATATGGGATGCCAGCGTCACAGGCAGAGGCTTAACCTATGCCACAAGGCTGGCCCAGAGCTGTTTTAATTTTAAAAAGTCCTGTTCTAATTCGTCTAGGGGTTCTTTTTTCCCCCTGTGCTACAAGTTGGCAAATTTTTCCTTTAAAGGGCAAGGAAACAACATGTTCAGTTTGTACCTATACAGTCCGTGCCACTGCTACTGTTTTAGAGCAGAAGGAGGCACAGAGAATACCTAAAGGCAATCTGCTATGTTTCAATGAAGAAACAGCGGGTGACACCTGTCGGCTACCGTCGCCAGGCCCTGCCCTGTGTAATCATTGTTCATCTCCTGTTTGCTATTCTTCAGGGTGGTTTCTGCTAATAAAACTATCCTAAATGAAGCACAGTGCCTTTCACAGCATTCTGTTAGGCACAAGGCTGTCACTTAGTGGTGAGCTGTGATCCTGGTTTTCTTGGCATATGAAATAGCTTCATGGAACACACTGGAAGGGAAGCGTGTGTATATGTCTGTATGTGCTTGGGGGTTTTATTTTAAATCTTCAGATAAGGGGAGTTCTGACATGTATGTTGTTTAAATCCAAAGTAGCAGATTTTGAAAAGTTTTTATATGAAATTTAAATTCTCATAAATATGTACATTAGATACAATGAAACAACCATGCATATATCCATTGACCATTTGAAAGAAGGAATGCCTGTAGTACCTTAGAAATCCCGAGTATCCCCCTTCTGTTGTCCCACGTCCACCTTCTTTGTTGGCATTTAGTCATACTCATTCATTTTTGCCAATCTAGGGTAGGGATGTAGGTGAACTGGTTGACACAACAGTTGGTTATCAATCTTATTTTCAGCACGTGACTAGAGTATTTCATGACCTGGAAGGAAAAGTAGTTAGACGAGACTCTGGAATATGGATTAATGGTTTTGATTACACTGGCATGTCGCATATAACGCCACACATCCCTGAGATCAATGACACCATCCGCGCTCACTGTGAGGAGGACGCGCCCCTCTGTGGTTTCCCTTGGTATCTGCCGGTGCACTTTCTGATCAGGTAGGTTCACTACTTTCCTCCTTCACCAGGGGATTCGTTTGTTCTCAGGTCTTACCACAGTATCAGTATTGTTTAAACTGTTACCCTTGACATACAAGGACTTTTTTTCTATCACTACAGAATTTCCATTTCTTTAGTGGAATAAAGCACTCAAAAGAGTAGCTTCGTTTGCCAAATTTAAAAACTCTTTCCTGTAGAAATATGAGCAGTTAAAAATGGTCATCTTCCCAAAGTAACAGCTAGCAATTAAAAATCTATCTCAAATTGTATTGTTTTTTGAAAGTTTTTTAAAGGTTTGACAGTAAAGAATTGAATAAGAAAGAAGGATGGGTAGTGGAATTAAGGTCACCTAGGTAAACCACTGTATTCTTAACACAGGAAGTATTTACTACACAATAACCTGGGTTTCATAGGAATTGGCATCAGAATTTATTTTCATACCCCAGAATGTGTTCACATATTCTGAACACTCCCATTAATTGTTGTTATGAATTGATAAGGCATCCTAACTAGTGATGCTAACTTTTCAAATAGGAAAAACTGGTATCTTCCTGCCCCAGAAGTTTCTCCGAGAAATCCTGCTCATTTCAGACTTATATCCAAAGAACAGACACCTTGGGATTCTGTAAAGTTGACTTTTGAAGCAACAGGTAAGTCATATGACCATTTTTTTCCTCTCCTTCCACTTTTTAATTACATGTGTTTCTCTCAAATATATCAAAGGCAAGCACATCAAGAAGAGCTTACAATGTTTCTAAAAGCAATTAAAGCTTGTTATGATTTCTTAAAACAAATTTAATAGATTGAATTTTTCAGAGCAGTTTAGAAAAAGTGAGCAAAAAGTACAACCTGGCTAAAGGCTTACTGATTTTATTGGCTTTTTCCAAGAACTGCTTTTGGTTTAGTTGATTTTTTTTTTCTACTGAGTCCTGTTTCAAGTGGTTTCTGCTCTAGTTTTATTATCTTTTTCACTCTACTTTGGATTTAACTTGTTCTTTTTCTATGATTTGCTAAAGTAAAAACAGATTATTGATTTTTGGGTCACTTTTTCTAATACACTCATTGAGTGCTGTAAATTTCCTTCTATGTGCGCTCCATCTCACAAATTGATTAAGTTGTACTTTAATTTTAATTTATTTTTTTTTAATTTCCCAGTTGTTTGGGCCCATGTGTAAGTTTAGAAATAGGTTCTTTAATCTCCAAATACATGGAGATTTCCTGCCCCCGCCTTTTTTTTGACATGCAGAGAGGACGACACACATATACAGGAAAGAGACTGAGAAAAGGAAAACTTCCCATCGACTGGTTCACTCCCCAAATGTCCACCTATAGTGGCTGGGCCAAAACCAGGAGCTGGGAAATCGATCCAGGTTTCCTACATGAGTGGCCGGAATCCCGTCACTCGGGTTATCATTGCTACTTCCCGGGGTCTGCGTTAGCAGGAAGCTGGAATCGGGAGCCAGAATGTGATACTGAATCCAAGTATTCACATAAGGGACTGCAGGTATTTTAACTGCTAAGCTAAGTGCCTACCCCATAGCTTTTTTTTTTTTTTAATACTAATTTGATTGTGGCTTGAATTTTAGCATATTTTCCTGATTTTTATTCAAAATTTGCTAAGTTTTGCTGTATGGTACAGAGTGTGGTCTCCTGGTGTGCATATTCCAGGTGATCTTAAACAATGTGTACGCTTCTGATGATGATTCTATGAATGTCACTTATATCCAGTTGATCAGTTCAACTGTATTCTTACTACTTCTCTGCCTGTTGTATTTGCTGATTACTGATGGAGGGGTGTTGAAGTCACCAACTTTAACTGTGAATTTGCCGACTGCTCCTTCAGTTGGAGGTGTTTTTGTCTCAACTTCTGTGGTCTGGAGTGAGGGCCATACATAGAGAGGATTGCAGCATCTTAGAGAACTGCCACTTTATCACTAAATAAAGCCCCTCTTTGTCCCTGGTAATATTCTTTCCTCTGAAGTCTGACTTATCTAAAATTAATTCACTTCTCAAGTTTTCTTATGATTGATGTCAGCATGGTATATCTTTCTCCATCCATCCGTTTAGTTTTTATCTATATGTATCTTGGGGCAGTGTTGTCACAGAGTGGGATAAGCCACGGCCTGCAACACCTGTATCCCACATAGGCATTTAAGTCCTTGCTGCTCCTTTCTGATCTAACCCCCCTCCCCCCATATGCATCTAGGAAAGCAGCAGAAGGTAGCCCAAGTGCTTGGCCCTGCCACTCAATTAGGGGACCCAAATGGTGAGGCTTTGTCCTGGCCCAGTCTGGGCTGTTGTAGCCATCCGGGGAGTGAACAGTGGATGGAAGCCCGCCCCCCACACCTCCATACCTCTGCCTTTCCAATAAATCTTTTACAACATATAAGAACCTATATGTCTTAAATTTAAAAATGTTTCTTGTAAGTATGCAGTTGGGTCTTATTTTATTGCACATGCTGACCATTTATTTTAAATGTTTATTTGAAAGGCAGAGTGACAGAGGGAGAGTTGGAGAAAGATCTTCCATCTGCTGGCTCATACTACAAATGGCCGCAGCAGCCGGCACTGGGCCAGGCCAAAGCCAGGATCTACATCTGGGTCCCCCAATGTGGGTGGCAGTGGCCTAAGTACGTGGGCCAGCTTCTGCTTTCCCAGGTGTGTTTGCATGGTGTTAGATCAGAAGTACAGTGGTTGGGACTGGAACCTGTCCTTTGATATGGGATGCTAACATCACAGGCAGTGGCTTAACCCACTGTACCACAATGCAAGGCCCCTACTTCACGTTGCATTTAGAACATTGATGTTTTGGCCGGCGCCGCGGCTCACTAGGCTAATCCTCCACCTTGTGGCGCCAGCACACCGGGTTCTAGTTCCGGTTGGGGCGCCGGATTCTGTCCGGTTGCCCCTCTTCCAGGCCAGCTCTCTGCTGTGGCCAGGGAGTGCAGTGGAGGATGGCCCAAGTGCTTGGGCCCTGCACCCCATGGGAGACCAGGAGAAGTACCTGGCTCCTGCCATTGGATTAGCGCGGTGCACCGGCCACAGCGGCCATTGGAGGGTGAACCAACGGCAAAAGGAAGATCTTTCTCTCTCTCTCTCTCTCTCACTGTCCACTCTACCTGTCAAAACAAACAAACAAACAAACAAAAACATTGATGTTCAAAGTGACTTATGATGCAGTTGGATTATATGCCATATTTGTTACTATTTTCTCTTTGTTGCCGTTGTTCCTGTTTTTGTCTTCCATTTTTCTGCCATTTTTGGGTTTTTAAAAATTAAGTATAGGAGACCCAGAAAAAGCCCCTGGCTTCTGGCTTTGGCCTGGCCCATCTCTGGCTGTCACACCCATGTGGAGAGAGAACCAGTAGAGGAAGATTTCTCTCTCTCCCCCTATTACTCTTTCAAATAAATAAAACTTAAAAAAAAAAGTATTTACTTGGGCCATGCGTCATCTGCTGCCTGCCAGGTACATTAGCAGGAAGCCAGTCTGGAAGAAGTGGAGGCAGGACTCTATTCCAGGCACTCTGATGTGGGATGTGGGCATCCCAAGTGGTAGCTGAACTTCCATGAAACTGCCTACTTATGTGCTTTTTCTTTTCAGGTTTATTTTACTTACTTGAAAGGAAGAGTTACAGAGGGAGGGAGAGGGAGAGCTGCCATCTGCTGGTTCATTCCCTGAATTGCCACAATGTTCAGGGAGTGGCCAGCCAAGCCGAAGATGGGAGTTTCCTCCTCATTTCCCATGTTGGTGCAGGGGCCCAAGCACTTGGGCCATTCTTTGCTGCTTTCCCGGGAATATTAGCAGGGAGCTGGATCAGAAGTTGAGCAAGTGAGATGTAAACTGGAGCCCATAAGGGATGCCAGCACTGTCGGGGAAGCACTGCCACAATGCAGGCCCCGCCCCTGTACTTTTAATTGGATATTTAAAATATTTATTTTCTCTTCATTTACTTTTTACTAAAAAACTTTTCTTAGTGAGTGGTTGCCTTAGACTTTGCAGTTTACAACTAATCCAAGCCTACTTTCCAATAACACATACTGCTTCACAGGTAGTGTGACTACTTTATAAAAACAAAATAATCCTAATTTCTCCCCTTTCCCATCCCTTGTATTGTCACTGTCATTCATTTCACTTGTACATAAGCATGTGTGTATGTGTAGAAACATACATGTATACATAATCACACACACTGTTGCTATTATTTTGAGCAACCTGTTATCTATTAGATCACCTAATTAAAAAACCTGAAACTTTTTCCATCACAAACTCCTCTTCCACTGCTTTTTCTGTTTTACTTTTCTGAAAGAATACCTATTGCCATGAGTTTTGCTCTTCTTAGAACAATTTAAATTATACAAGTTTCTTGTATTGCATATATAGATTTAGGAACATGATATTCTCCCCCCCCCAACCCTTATTGTTCCTCTCTCTCCAATTCCCACTCTTATTTTTACAGAGATCTATTTTCAGTTCACTTAATGATCGTTAGGTTAACCCTAAGTAAAGAGTTCCACAAATAGTATGAAGAAACTGTTTCAGTCTTTGTCTCAACTGTCCAAGTTTCTTTTTTTTAAACAACTTGAAATCTTTACTTAGTATAATCTTCTGTATATAAAGTTAATTGAAAATAGATCTTAGTAAAAAAAAAAAAAAGAGGAGGAGGAAGCATAGAGGGAATAGTGGAGCTGTGGGAGGGCGGGCGGATTTGGTGGGAAGAAACACTATGCTGCTAAAGTTGTATTTATGAAATGCATGAAGTTTGTATTCCTTAAATGAAAGGTTTTTCTGGGGGCAGGAGAGGACAAAACACTGTTCCTCAGCAGAAGAGACAAGGGCTGTAAACAATCATCGAATCTCAAAATGTCCATTTTACTCCAATACATTACATTTTAGGTACTCTATTAAATAGTGACCCCAGATCAGGGAAAGCATGATGTCTTTTTGGGATTGGCTTTATTTAACTAAGTATAATGTTTTCCAGTTGCATCCATTTTGTTGCAAGTGATTACTGTAACAAAAAAAAGAAGAAATTGAATAGTGCGCTGTAGTGTAGTTTCTTTATCCTGTCATCAGTTGGTGGACATCTGGGTTGATTCCATATCTTAGCTATTGAGAATTGAGCTGCAGTGAATATGGGGGTACAGGTAAACAAAAAGAAATCAGCATATAAAAGTTAAGTTCTCAGGACTGGGATGACTGGATCATATGGAAGGTCTATATTAAGCTTTCTGAACTATGTCCATACTGCCTTCCACAGTGGCTAGACCAGTTTAGACTCCCAGCAATAGTGGATTAGGGCACCTTTTTTCCTATATCCTCTCCAGCATTTTTTGATTTGTGTATGAGAGCCATTCTAACTAGGATGAGGTGAAACCTCACTGTGGTTTTGATTTGCATTTCCCTGATGGCTAGTGATCCTGAGAATTTTCTCAAATGTCTGGCCATTTGAATTTCCTCTTTTTAAAAATGCCTGTTCAAGTCCTTTGCCCATTTCCTAACTGGATTGTTTTGTTGAGTTTGTTGAGCTTTATAGATTCTGGGTTTATTCCTTTACCAGTTGCACAGTTTGCAAATAATTTCTCCCTTCTGTCTGTTGCTTCTTTACTTCGCAGTGTTTCTCCGCAGTGCACAAACTTCTCAGTTTGATGTAACCACATTTGTCCATTTTGGTTTTGATGGCCTGTGCTTCTGGGGCCTTTCCCAAGAAGTCTTTTCCTATGCCAATGTCTTGAAGAGTTTCTCCAATGTTCTCTAGTAATTTGATGATACCAGGTCATAGATTTAGGTATCTGATCCATTCTGAGTGGATTTTTGTCTAAAGTGTCAGGTAGGGGTCTAGTTTCATACATCTGTATGTGGAGATTGTTTTCCTGTTAACACTGCTTAAAAGATTTCGTCACTTCACTTTGTTCTCCCTTTTTCACCGATCAGTCTTACCTAAAACTTACTACCTTCCAGATGGAGGTTGTTTTGCTGTTTCGGGGGTGAGCATTTGCTGCAGTATTAAGAGGCTGTTTGGGGTGCTTGCTTCCTATGTTTGAGTGCCAGGTTTCAAGTTCTGGGCTCTTTCCATTTCCAGCTTCCTGACCAAGGGAGGTAGCAGGTGATGGCTTGGGTGCTTGGATTCCTGCTACCTTTGTGGGAGTCCATTTCCAGGCTTCTGTTCCTGGCCCAATCCTGGCTATTGTGGACAAAGGTTTATATTTGTTATCTCTTATTGAAGTCAACCTATTTCTATGTCAGCTTTTATTGCTTTTTAAGTTATTTGAAAGGCAGAGCTAGGGAGAGATAGAGTGCTTTCATCCACTGGTTCACTCCTCAAATGGCTGCAATGGCAAAGGGCCTGGCCAGGTGGAAGCCAGGAGCTTCTTCGTGGTCTCCCACATGGGTGAAGGTGTCCAAACACTTGGGCCATCTTCCACTGCTTTCCCAAGTGCATTAGTAGGGAGGTGGATCAGAAGTGGAGCAGTTCAAATTGGCGCCCATGTGAGATGTTGGCATTACAGGACATGGATTAACCTGGTATGCCACAACACTGGCCCCTGAATGTAAAATTATTAATGGTGATAAATTATAAACAGTAAGGAACTTTATGGTCTATTCAGAAAAATGTTAGTGCTGGGCCAGGTTAGGTTGAAGCCAGGAACCTGCTAAACTGTTGCAGGAGGTAGCTTAACCTGCTACACCACAATGGCCTGTGTTAGTTCCCGCCGAGTAGCCGATACTACAGTTTGCTTATTCACTTTTCCTTTCCCCCTCTGGTTTCCTCTGCCATATAACAATTGTACCTTTGTCTTCCACTCTCACCTTGATGTTTGGAAATACATTTGGATATACTGAAAATCCTTCACTTGGGGGTCAGCGTTGTGGCACAGTGGGTAAAGCAGCTGCCTGCGACACCAATATCCCATATGGGCACCAATTTAATTCCCGGCTGCTCCACTTCCAATCCAGCTCCCTGCTAATGCACCTGGGAAAGCAGCAGCAGATGGCCCAACCCTGCCTGGCCATTGCCATTTAGGGAATGATCCAGCAGATGAAAAGATCAGTATCTCCCTGTAACTCTGACTTTGAAATAAATAAATATATGTATGTATTTATTTTTTTTTAAACACAGATTTGAGAGGCAGAGTTAGAGAGGGAGAGGCAGAGATCTTCACCTGCTGGTTCACAACAGCCACAATAGCTGCTTCTGGCTCTCTCACGTGGGTGCAGGTGCCCAAGCACTAGCGCAGTCTTGTACTGTGGCTGTATAATATATCTCCTCTTTTATCTTTTTTTCAACGTTATCGCCCAAGTGACCAAAGATACCCCCCCCCCTTCTTTTTAGCTTTCTCTCTCTCTCAGCAGCTTTGTTTTTGAAGACTGACAGATTTCAAGTGGTGTCTGGACACCAGTATTTTCCGATGTACCATAAACTTATTTGCCTACTATTGCTTGCCACAAAGCCTTGCAGCAACAGGAGGGTGGAAATGAACATAAGAACCTGATAATTAAAAATTTATGGGTATTTTAATTTTGGTGTTATATGTTCATATTAGGCTGAGGGTTATAATTTTTGTTTCATTTTGTTTTGCCAGCCCATGCTGTCACTTTCCTGGAAGTCCCCAAAGACTGAATTGTTAGAACTGTGCTGAAGTTTGCTCTGCTCTGTAAAGGGAACAGACAGCAAGCAAACAACTTGTAAGGGTTACATAGCAACTGAAAATTGTAACCGTCTTCACTAGTCTACTCAGTACTTTTATAGCACTAACAACTTTTTCAACACTTCAACTACTTTACAGGTGAAGAAATTCTGACTCAGATTATGTGAATTCTTTTATTTATTTGAAAGGCGGAGCTACAGAGAGGGAGGGAGAGATAGATCTACCTTCTTCTGGTTCATTCCCCAAATGGATGCAGTGGCCAGGGCTGGGCCAGGTCAAAGCCAGGAGCTTCCTTTGGGTCTTGCACATGAGTGCAGGTGCACAAGGACTTGGGCCATCTCATACTGTTTTCCTGGGCATGCTAACAGAGAGCTTGACTGGAAGTGGAGCTGCTGGAAATTGAACTGGCACCCATATGGAATGCTGGTGCTGCAGGCGATGGCTTAACCCATTATGCCTCAATGCTGACCCTGAGTATTTTGGCCAGGTACATTAGCAGGAATCTGGATCAGAAGTGAAGTAGCTGGAGCATCAGATAGCATTGCTGTCACAGATGTCAACTTCACCTACTATACCACAATGCTGGCCCCCAAGTGAATTCCTAATGCATGTAGCAATTGCATGATAGGACAACTTAATTTAGGCTTTCTCAGGTAGCTTCTCTGACTTTTCTGCTGTGGTTCTTGGTTTAACCTTCATACAGGGTGAATGTCCAAACTGATCAATTTTTATGTATTTGGTAGGTATGAAGAGACTAAAAAGAACTTTGTGGAATGATAATTAAAATATTAGATTACTTTGGTATAACGCTTTTGTGATCCATGCATACCATGGGTCTTCACAAAGTTCCTAGACAATGTGTATTATGGAGAAGCTATACATGAATTTTTTAAGCAACCAAAGTTAACTTTTTTAATTCTATTTTTTCTACAAGTTTTTTGAAGTACCCTCATATTTAAAGTGCTACAAGGCTACAATGGGGTGAGTTGCTTTTCTTACTAATACGTTTTAAAAGAATAACTGTTCTTTTTTCCTCTTATCTTACAGGACCAAGCCATATGTCCTTCTACGTCCGAGCTCATAAAGGGTCAACACTGTCTCAGTGGTCTCTTGGCAATGGCACACCGGTCACGAGTAAAGGAGGGGACTACTTTGTATTTTATTCCCATGGACTCCGGGCTTCTGCATGGCAGTTCTGGATAGAAGTGCAGGTGCGAGTTTTCCAAAATTCCTTGTTTCCTTGGCCAGGTTCCCTGGTGGTTATTCAGCGGGAACCGTGAGTTTACCTTTCTAGTGTTGGAGAACTAACTGATTTTCTCTGGCAGGGCCCAGAGGAACAGCCTGAAGGAATGGTCACTGTGGCCATCGCTGCCCACTATCTATCTGGGGAAGACAAGAGATCCCTGTCACTGGATGCTCTGAAGGAGAGGTTCCCAGATTGGTCGTTTCCTTCTGCCTGGGTGTGCACCTACAATGTCTTTGTGTTTTAGTCTTGGGGATGAGCTCTAAGTACATGCCCAGTGGATACTCCATGTGACACAGTTTCTCCCTATGTTACGTGGATGTTTGTAACGTAAGTCAATGAGTTTAATGCACATATGTTTGAAGAGCTTTTTTGGTTAACACTTTTCAGGGCCAAGCACTGTAATGGTTAAGCTGTGAGACATGCATGGCCTTTTTGACACTTGAAAATGCCAGTTTTCTGGCACTTAAGCACATGTGGGTATTGCCACTGTCATTGTATATGACCTTAAGGACAAAAGCCAACAACCACTTTAGTAGCTGTCCTTCTAGGAAGGAAACATGTAAACCATCAGACCATTCTCAGTGGGACTTGTCATTTCCAGTTAGAGCAAGACCCTCTGTTAGGACAAGGATGGTGGGTAAAACACCCTTCACTACGGTGATGATTCCCCTCGAGATCTAACTCCATAGGTCAGTAGAAAGTGGCTGTCGTAAGGACGGGGGAAGCACTGCACCTGAGAGCTGTTTCTTCAGGCAACCTCTCTCTCTGTCTCGAAGCCTGGACCTGATGGGGTGCTGTATGCTGGGGTTAACACAAGTGTCTTGACTAGTGGTCACTGAAATCCACTCAGGCTGTTTACCCCTGAAACTATCCATTTGATTGGTTGCGTTACCTTTCCCTAAGGAATTTCATACTTTTTTTTTTGGTTTTTAGTATTTGTGCAAGTACATGACCCTAACTTCCTTAGAGCACTGAACTGCCACTGTGGTTATTGTGGGGTAGGAGGAGAGTGGTTGGGATAAGGTGACAATTTTCTAAGTATTTATTCTGTTTTGTAGGAGTCTTTTTACACTGATGACCTAGGCCCTTTGTGCTTGCCAGCCAGGTGAATAGAGTAGTGTCTCAGTAAGTTACGGCACCGTAGACTGGCTTTCCTGACACGTGAGACTGTTCTGGAATAAGCCCACTGTACCCAGAGTTGCTGGTGTTCAGACCCTGCATAATCACAGTGCTGACGCTTTTCAGTTTGAAAGGCATTAACTCATTAGTTGCATAGGCAAAAGAAAGTTGAAAGAAAAGGTACAGCAAAGAAGACGAAAGCAAGGTTTACATTTTTGGGGAGCTAAGGGAATATGCAGAATGCTCGCTGAAAAGTGGTCCCCTCAGATCTCAACGGAAAGCTGCACAGTGTGTATGATGTGCTTTCTTAATCACGCTCATCTTGCCTAATTTGTGACTCCCTAAAGACTGGGCTCATGCAGGCAGAGCTGAATGGTAAGGTGCATCAGTGACTTGACCTGGTAGAAATGCTGTATTGCTGGTAGTAAGTTGGTAAGAGTCACAGTTATAAAGAAAAGGAAAGAGTAATATATCAATGAATTTCAAAAGGCAGGCGTATTTTCTGTCCCTGTGGTTAATCTGAAATAGATTATTGAGGATCTTCTGTGAAAAAAAACTTTGGAGAGGATGTTGTTTTTTCATTGACAACCATGATTCTCCTTTGGGGTGGTTTCACTTATCTTCAGCATTTTCTAGCTTTGATATTGTGCTAACTAGTCTCAGGGCCAGGGTAACATCTTAGGTAGTTATTTTAGTATCGGAAATGGTCAAGTGATCACCATAAATATTATGGCGCTATTAGGAAGTACATTGTCATATCAGTAGGCTCTGTAATGAATGTTAGTTTTTTTTTTTTTTTAAAGAGTATCTGAGCATTTGCATAACTTCTAAAAGGGTCTTTCCAAGCTCTATCAAATGCATTATGTTCTGCAGAAATAAATACAAGTAGCACAGTACTCCATATTCAGGGAAAATATGAAGAATTTACTTCCTTATGTTGATGTAAGAATGAGTGTCGCATGAAGTGTTTGTTTCCACAGTTTAGCAGAAGTAAACATAGGATTCCTTAAGATGTCACCACCGAGGGGGCCACAAGCCAGCCTGCTGACTCAGGAAGCTGTAGGAAGGATGATTGTATCTGTCCAATTCTGGTTTACTGCCTTGTTGAGGATTAATTGTTGCCTTACAATGTTACGGAAATAAACTTTTTAACATAATGGTTGGTATCTTTTTGATGTTCATTTACTTCATTTTTTTAACTGGGGATTGAATTTCACAGAAATGTACCATATTTAAAAATCTTAAATAATTAGCAATTGCTTTTTTCAAATGGAAAAGTTATTAAAGGTGCCCTCTTGCTAGTGGGTAGGGGAGAGGAGATTGCCTCTTAGTTACCATTGACCAAATGCAGTTTAATACAAGGTGAAGCAACAGAACAGCTTCTAAACATGCCTGTCTTTTCAGGGCCAATAAAACAGACATTTTCTCTTTATGGATTTATATACTGTAATACACACATTAAATCTTAAGAGCTGGAAAAGAATTTTCTTTGATCAAAGTCACCTATGAAAGACTGAACGCTTCCCCCTAAGAGCAGGAAGAGAAATGGGCATTTCTGATTCAACTGGTGGCTCTGTCTAGCCAGAGTACTATGGCAAATCAAAGACATCCACATTAGAAAGGAAGAGTTAAAACCTCCTCCAGTTGCAAACATGATATAAAACAAAACAAATTAAAGGCCTAAACAAATGGGAAAACATCTTATGCTACTTGGAAGACTTAAAATGGCAATATTCTCCAAATTGATTTATAGGTCAAATAGAACTTCCATCAAACTTGGTACAAGCTGATTCTAAAATTCAAATGGAATATAAGGGACCCAGAATAGCTAACCAAGCCTTAAAAATATGACTGATATTTCCAGAAAGTCCTATAAAGCTACAGTAATCCAAAAAAGCATAGTACTGGTAAAAGGACTTATAGATCATTACAGTGTGAGTACAATTAAGAGTTCAGAAATTAATACATACATTTATAGTCATCTTTAATGGGGAGAAATAATTCAGTATGTGGTGACTGATCGACTGTCCACATGTAAAAGACCCCTACATCATGCTATATATAAACATCAATTCAAAATGGATCAGAGACTTACATGTTAGAGCTACATTCATATTAGGTGGAGTGGTTAAGACATTGCTTGGGATACCTCACCCTGTATCAGAGGGCCTAGGTTCTGTCCCAGCTCCACTTCCTGCTTATGCACACGTGGGGAGGCAGTGGTGATGGCGTTGGTACTCGGGCTCTTACCACCTACATGGGAGACCGGATGGAACTCACAGCTTTGCTCTGGCTGTTGGAGGGATGTGGGGGAGTGGATTAATGGATGGAGGATCTATTTGTCTTTCGAGTAAATTCAAATAAACATGACCATGGGTACGACAATGGTTTTCTAGCTATAACACCAAAAGCACAAGCTATCAAAAAATACTTTGCCAGAATGAAGAATCTCAGTTTCAAGGGAAGCTGTCAAGAAAGCAAAAAGACAAGCCAACGAATGAAAAAGTGTTTACAAATCCTATGTATCTGATAATGGTCTAGTATCCAGAATGTAACTTTTTAAAATCAACAATAAAAAGAAACCACCTAACTGAAAAATGGTCAAAGTATGTGAATAGACATTTTTCTTCAGATAATCACATGAAAAGATGTTACATGGGCATTAGGGAACTGAAATTCTAAACTATAATGATATACCCATTTCACACATAACTTAGGCTATAACCAAAAAGTAACACTGGTACAAAACGGAAATGTTATCCTCTGCTAGTGGGAATGTTAGTGCAGGCACTTTGGAATTAAGTTCGGCATTTCCTTAAAAAAATCACTAACAAATGGCCTAGCAATTCCACTCCTGGAATCTAGAGATAACTGAAAACATATGTCCACACAGAAAAGTATACAAAAGTCCTACCTTATTCAGAGATACACTTCAATACATCAATAATGGATTCCTGAAACTGCAGATAGTATCAAGTACTATATATACTATGATTTATTTCTCTACTTAGCTACTCAAATTTATAAATTAGTCACAGAGTTAACAACTAATAAAGTAGACTAGTTCTAACAATATATTTTGGTAAAAGTTACTTAAAATTCCTGAAACTTTTCTATTGACTGGACCATGGTTGACCATGGGTAACAACCCCCTGATTGGCCGGGGTAGGAGGGGGAACATTACCGTATGTGACTGTTCATTGTAGTAGTATGCATTATAGTCAATGGAAGAAAACTCCACCTTCAACTGCTCAATGGATAAAAAGTGGTATATCTGTATAATGGAATATTTAACCTTAAAAACGGGAATTGGGGTGGGCACCTTTGCTCAGCAATTGGGAAGCCTGCATCCCATACTGAAATGCCTGAGTTTCAGTTCTGACTCCTAATTCTGGCTTCCTAATATGCACCCTTTGAGGCAGTACATAATGGCTCAGGTGGTTGAGCCCTTGTCATCCACGTTGGAAGACTTGGATCAAGTTCCTAGCTCTTGGCTTTGGACTGAACGGGCCTGGCCCTGGCTGTTGTGACATTTGGGAAGTGAACCACTAGACTGAGGAATTTGTCTCTCTGCCATTCAAATAAAAATAGAAAAGGAGTGGGAGGCTTGGTATTGTGGTACACAGGGTCAAGCTATTGCTCAGGATGCCTGCATCTCCTGTCAGAGTGCCGGTTCAAGTCCCAGCACCTCTGCTTCTGATCCAGCTTCCTGCTAATGCATCTTGGGATCCAGTAGATGGTAGCGCAAGTGCTTGGGCTCCTGCCAAATACATGGGAGACCCAGAGGAAGTCTTGGGCTCCTGGCTTCAGCATGGCCCAGCCCTGGCTATTGTAGGCATTTGGGGGAGTGAACCAAATGATGGAAGTAGATGGAAGATCACTCTCTTGCTGTGCTGTTAAGGTAGATGAAAATACTAAATATTAAAAACCAGTAGTGATGGACAAGGATGAATTTTGACAACATCATGCCAAATAAAAGAAACCAGACAGAAAAGACCATTTATATGATTATATAATTCTATTTATATGAAATATCCGGTATAGGTAGATCCAGAAGCAGAAAGCAGATTCAGAAATATATGAAAAGGGGAAAAAACCAAACTCCTTTTTAACCCCACCTATCAGAGATGATGCCTACTTGACTATACACCGACAGAAAATTATGATCTTTACCAAACAAAATTCTATATCACAAAATTATATCCTGAACATTTTTCCATGTCATTATTTTCTTCTGTTTTTCCAATATTCATCTGTCAGCTACCTACAGTATTGCCAACTCTTTGCTTTTCCCACTATACATTGATATATAATATTTAAATACATCTCTGAATTTCTAGTTACTTAAGAAAATCCTAAAAGGTGGAATTATAACATTAACATACTTTTGAGGCTTAAATACATACTTCTGCTGTTACCTGAGATGACAAATAAACAAAAGTTTGTGCAACAGTTTTTATTGCCCTTTACCAAGTTAAAAAAAAATACAAATTACAGAAGTAGCAACAAATTTAATTACAAGCAAATGTTGACTATACCCCTAAATGGTTTCTTTTGGTATCAGCAAATAATTCTCGGGAATCTACTAAACTTCAAATAGTTATACTTATTTAAATTCATTGGTTAAAATTATGGCTTTAAACAGTTGATATGTGAACCAAACCACACAGCAAAATAAAAATGAGTTTTTAAAATTAAAGTATATAATAAATGAATTATCAAAGAAAAAATGTAAACTTACCAAATTTCTTGCCTTGGGCCTATTTCTTAGTTGAAAAAAATTTTTTTTATTAGTAGAGGAAATGATTCATTCAAGGCCTAGACCACAGGAATAAAGTTAACTTGTTGGTGCCCTGCTTTCAAGAGTGTAAACTTGGCAGCACAGTGTTCATTTAGATACTTGAAAACATCACAGGGGTTTATAATGGTAAATCATTTTTATTGACTGAGTATTCACAACACACACACACAAGTAATGCTGGTTCTTCTCCCTAATGGACTAGGACAGGAGAAGAGATTTCAGTTTGTTTTCTTGCTGGATTGCATGTACTCATCGGGGAACCAGTATTTTCTATCTAAAGATTCCGGGAAAGGTGGTTTGAAGCAGGCTTAAATAAAAGTAGCACCAGAAGGACCAGGTACCAATAAAAATATATTCCATCTGTTCAGTTTTATTAAGTGAAATTATTGCACTTCTAATGTAAAAAGTAAATAACAGTAAATTCCCAAACTCAATAATTTTGAATAGTTTGATGAATTTGGAGCTAAACAATTCAAAATAGTTTGAGTTTCTCTTCAAAGGAAACCTGGCTAACACAACCAAACCTAGGTACTTACTTTAAAAAGCCAGGAGAGGACCAAATTTTGTTTCTAAACTAAATTGCACTGTGAGAAGAGAGGCTGTTTTACATAGTGGTACGAATTTGGTCCATATCAAATACATTGTTATTATAAAAATAAGTTTGTTTTTGTAAAAAATAACATTGCATTCCTTGTTCAAATTGCACAGTACAAACAAGCTATCTAAATTAATACTGTAATAAGGTAATTAGAATTACATACAGTGGATATGTGTTTAGTCTGAAGCAATTAAGGAATATGCAGTTCTGTTTTCATAATGTATGAAAACTAAAATTTAAGTCATCTACAAATACATAAAATACTTTTAAAGTTTACAATGAAGAATGCATTCTTTACATACTAATTTTAGTAGCCGTGATAATACAGGATTCAGCAGTCTATTTACATAAAAATCCATTTTTATTCAATTTACAAAAGCAATAAATAATAAACTACGTTAATTTGCACAAAATCTGTTCCATTTCATGATCATTGTGACCATTTTTGTTACTTTATGACCAATGAAGCCAATACACCTGTCTTCCTTTATGAAGACAGCTCATTTTTGTAAAGAAAAGCGAGCCCTGTTTTCATTCTTAAGAGTATAGTCATGCAGAATCTGGCATAAAACCTTAGAAATTATAATACAAGCACTAAAAATATGAGTAGTGCCTTTGGGTATATTTACACCAGAGTATTCACAAAAAAGAGACAGTTCTTTGATACAAAATAGTTTAGTGGTATCTGACAGCATAATTGGTAAGCATCCCTCAGACCTTTGCCCGCACTGATCTAGCAGGAATAAAGCTTGCTCAGACAGGCACATTAACTCATGGGTAAACAGCCTGCACTGATTCAGGACTGGGATTTAACAGGCTGGTAAAGCCAAGGAGAATGTCTCTCACACTGACACATCAAGGGTACTTGAAAACAGCTCATGAAAAATGGAACTAAAAGATGGGTTTATTTTGGTGCAAAGAATTTTAAAATCCACCAATATGTTATGATACTCAACTTCATGAACTTTTTGAAGATCCTGCATATTTTACACCAAAATAAAAGCCTTTTAACTCTGCTTTGAGCTTTTCGAAGTATCCTCACTGTGCCAGGGTAGGCATCTGTTCAGTAGGTCCAATTAGGGAGTCCAGTGAGCTCTGTCCAAGGCAGCAAAAAGGTAGCTCGAGTACCCGATGAGCTATCTATCGCAAGCACCTTAGCATTTATTTTTAAAAAGCAGTCTGGATACACACTCTACCAGAAAACGTATAAGAAGCTATAAGTAGTGAAAAAGTAAGCTCACCCCAGGCCAAACAATCCCTGTGGTTTAAGAGCTACCAACCTTTGAATAAAACCAAAATATTCTTATGTACATATGTACAGTATGTTTTATTACTTTCTAATGCAGCTTAAGAAATTTTTTTAAGAAAGATGCTTTATTTGATATCACATTTTTATGGAGTCAAAGAGATTTCTTATTTAAAATCTAATAATACTTTACCAAAGAGTCTCTGAGCTGGGTTCTCTTCCCCTTTAAATCATCCAACTAGGTCACAGTGTACTCAGTTGCATGCTGCTACTAATTAATACTGCCTGTCGTGATGACACCGCATTGTTAGGACACAGAACAGTCGTAAGTCCCATCCTGAAAAGGTTCTTCCTCCTGTGCCCGAGTCATGTCCTCCTCTTTGCGGCTGACCACACTGGTCCCCAAGATCTCGCCCTGGGGGATGCTTCCATGGCTGGAGGAGCTCCTGCTCTCCTCGGCCCGGGGGCTAGTCTGTTCAGGAGTCTTAGCCGCTGTGACTGGCTGGAAGGCATCAGGCTGAGCCTGTTCTTCTGTTATCTCACTGAGCTTCTGCAGTTGTGGCTTAATGACGTTTAAAAATGGCTTATATCCAGGGCTAAGCAGAGGGGAAAAACAATTAGTTCTCATCTTCAAAAGTCTTGGTCGAAAGTTATAGACCGACTAGTACTAAACACAGATACAATAAAGACAATGACAGATTCTGAGGGGAAGGAAGGAAGCACAAAAAGAGATAAGGAGGGAAGGCTTCTTGAGTATCCTGCTCAGCACACCAGGAAATGCACTTAAGCATAGGACTGAGCCTTAAATTTCTGAGCACTAGAAGCAAACACATTTAAAAACCAGTATGACGATAAAAATCATATTCTGTAACTGAAGGACCAATGGGATTTCAGACTCAAAGAGGAACCTTCAGAAAACATCTACCCTAAATGCTTTTGACAATGAAAGAAAACAGATCTAACTAATGGAAATAACTAGCCTCAAATACACCTATAATTGGTGACAAATACAGGACTGGACTCCAATACTTTTCCGTCCAATCTACTACTCATCATTTGGACTTGCTAGTAACTGCCATGAAATGTTAAATTCAGATTATCTTTTCAAGCAGATATTTTTATATTATAACCTTCAATTCCACAGAACTACAAACCTTAAGTTCTAAACTAATTCCAAGACGATTTGTTCTGCATCAATCTCAAGTCAGTGACATTCACTTTATTTTTTTTTAAGATTTTCTAAAGTCAACATATTTTATTTACTTTCCTACCAAAACATGCTTTACAAATATTTCCTTAGAAGAGCATCTTACCTAGTTTTCTTCAGATAAATTTTTTTAAAATTTTTTTTACTTTTATTTAGTAAATATAAATTTCCAAAGTACAGTTTATGGATTACAATGGCTTTCCCCCCACCATAATTTCCCTCCCGCTCGCACCCCTCCCATCTCCTGCTCCCTCTCCCATTCCATTCACATCAAGATTCATTTTCAATTATCTTTATATACAGAAGATCGATTTAGTATATATTAAGTAAAGATTTCATCAGTTTGCACCCACACAGAAACACAAAGTATAAAATACTGTTTCAGTACTAGTTATAGCATTACTTCACATTGGACATCACATTAAGGACAGAGATCCAACACAGGGAATAAGTGCACAGTGACTCTTGTTGTTGACTTCACAATTTGACACTCTTGTTTATGGCGTCAGTAATCTCCCTAGGCTCTAGTCATGAGTTGCCAAGGCTATGGAAGCCTTTTTTTTTTTTTTTTCTTTTTGATAGGCAGAGTGAACAGTGAGAGAGACAGAGAGACAGGTCTTCCTTTTGCCATTGGTTCACCCTCCAATGGCCACCGTGGCCAGCATGCTGCGGCCAGCGCATTGCACTGATCCGAAGGCAGGAGCCAGGTGCTTCTCCTGGTCTCCCATGGGGTGCAGGGCCCAAGCATTCGGGCCATCCTCCACTGCACTCCTGGGCCATAGCAGAGAGCTGGCCTGGAAGAGGGGCAACTGGGACAGAATCCGGTGCCCCGACCGGGACTAGAACCCGGTGTGCCGGCACCACAAGGCAGAGGATTAGCCTATTGAGCCATGGCGCCGGTCTTGGAAGCCTTTTGAGTTTGCCGACTTCGATCTTATTCCAACAGGGTCATAGTCAAAGTGGAAGTTCTCTCCTCCCTTCAGAGAAAGGTACCTCCTTCTTTGATGGCCCCGTTCTTTCCACTGGCATCTCACTCGCAGAGATCTTTCATTTAGTTTTTTTTTTTTTTTTTTTTTGCCAGAGTGTCTTGGCTTTCCATGCCTAAAATACTCTCATGGGCTCTTCAGCCAGATCCGAATGCCTTAAGGGCTGATTCTGAGGCCAGAGTGCTATTTAGGACATCTGCCATTCTATGAGTCTGCTGTGTATCTCGCTTCCCATGTTGGATCGTTCTCTCCCTTTTTGATTCTATCAGTTAGTATTAGCAGACACTAGTCTTGTTAGTGTGATCCCTTTGACTCTTAGACCTATCAGTGTGATCAATTGTGAACTGAAATTGATCACTTGGACTAGTGAGATGGCTTTGGTACATGCCACCTTGATGGGATTGATTTGGAATCCCCTGGCACGTTTCTAACTCCACTGACATTCACTTTATAAACACTAAATTTTACTCAATGGCTATCACCCATTCAAATGGTTCGGTAAGGAATGATTAATAAAGAAAGCAGCCTTAAAATGAACATATGAAAGCATTTTTATTTCTGCTAACCTAAATACATCCAACCTAAAAATGAACAACATAACTATATTCAACATAGGTGAACCACAACTAAACCATAATGTGAAAGGACTGATTCACTGAAGAACATCAAAGGGTCAGGAGCCCAAGGAAACCAGAACTTACCAATCTGTAGAGGCCCATCGGTCCACGGCATGTAGCCCTGTCTTTATGTTCTGTAACATCTCTCCATCTACCTCTGAAGACTGAGTAATAACCAAAATCTGGTTGATTATTGAGGATTCTCTAAGAATCAGACCTATGACAATGCACCAGTCCAGACATCCTGCCTCCATGAAGATATGTAGTAAATACCTACAGCAGAAACAAAATGATTTAAACTAAGAACCTATAGTTTCCCAGAAGTGGTTCCTGTACCCCATTTGGGCAAATACCCTGAGTAGAGATTGTGTGGGCTTAGAATTTTCTGAGAAACTCACCGAAGCTGGACTTGGGATTTGTGAGGCCCTTTACTTGCCAGCTCCATGGAGATGTGCTCTAGCTCAGACTGAGTCAAACTGAGTGTGGAGAAATTTTCATCCACCATTGTCCAGTCCCCATCCACCATGGAGCTACTTTCAGTCAAGTCTGTGGCTGAACCAATACTGCATTCATCACCTGCTGAAGAATTGCCAACAGTTATAAATCAGCTTCATACAGAAAATAATTGTGCTTCAATTTTATTTATTTAAAATATTTATTTATTTGAAAGAATTACAGAGAATATGAGAAACAGAGATCTTCCATCCGCTGGTTCACTCCCTAGATGGCCACAACAGCCTAAGCCAGGAGCTTCATCCAGGTCTCCCATGTGGGTGGCAGAGGCCCAAGTCCTTGGGCCGTATTTAACTGCTTTTCCCAAGCCATAAGCAGGGAGCTGGACATGAATGGTAGAGAAAGATCTTCCTTTTTCCGTTGGTTCACCCCCCAAGTGACAGCGACAACTGGCGTGTTGCGGCCGGCGCGCTGTGCCGATCTGAAGCCAGGAGCCAGGTGCTTCCTCCTGGTCTCCCATGCGGGTGCAGGGCCCAAGCACTTGGGCCATCCTCCACTGCACTCCCGGGCCACAGCAGAGAGCTGGACTGGAAGAGGAGCAACCGGGACAGAATCCGGCGCTCCAACCGGGACTAGAAACCAGGGTGTTGGCACCGCAGGCGGAGGATTAGCCTAGTGAGCTGCGGCACCAGCAAATTTTAAATATTAGCTATTTTCATAGGTGTTGATATCTCTTTAGGATTTTGAAACCAAAACATTAAATTTACTAAAACTGTGATATTATATGAACAACAGCAGATACTTTAAAATCATTAGAGAGATAATCATAAATTATTTGCCTTCATATGGAATGTCATACTAATCCACCAGGAAGCAGTCTTCTGTGCCCCTCCCCAAAATATCTCTGATTAAGTATTTAGATTCAACTACTAACTTACAGGAAATACAAAGCAAACTGTTACACTAAACTCCGAAGATGCAATCATTAAAAATTACACTGTGAAATTTAGACCCAAGTTTCTTCTGTGACTACACTGTAAGAGAGGGGGAAGAATGAAGGGAACATTCACTTTAAAAAGAGAATTAAAAATATAATCACAATGTGTGAACTTTATTTGGATATAAGTCAAGCTATTAAAAAATTATGACTTTTAATAAACAAGTGGAAATATGAATACTTGATGGTATTATGGAGTTGTTAACATGGTTAGAGGGACAGTAGTGGTATTATGGTTACCTAAAAATGGAGTTCTTATAGGATCTATATTTATAGATAAATTATGTATTTCGGATCTGCTTCAATTGCTAAGGGAGGGGGGGAGGAGTGGACAAAGCAAATTTGGTCCTAAGTTGTTAGGAAGCTGTGTGATGCTTAGTAGGGGAAGTGGCTCACTATTTTGCTATCTCTTTTTAAATGTCTGAAGTCATCTCTTTTATAAGTTTACTAAGGGGCCGGCATTATGGCATAGTGGGCTAAGCCTCTGATTGCAGCACCAGCATCCCATACGGGTACCAGTTCTATTCCCAGCTGCTCCTCTTCCTATCCAGCTCTACTATGGCCTGAGAAAGCAGTGAAGATAAGTGCTTGCGCCCCTGCACCTGTAGCAGAGACCCAGAGGAAGCTCCTTGCTTCGGATTGGCTCAGCTCCAGCTGCTGTGGTCATCTGGGGAGTGACCCAGTGAATGGAAAACCTTTTTGTCTGTCTATAACTCTACCTTGCAAAAAAATAAGTAAAAAATCTTTTTGTCTTTTTTTTTTCTTTTTTTTTGACAGGCAGAGTGGACAGTGAGAGAGAGAGAGAAAGGTCTTCCTTCCGTTGGTTCACCCCCCAAATGGCTGCAGTAGCTAGTGCACTGCAGCCGGTGCACTGCGCTGATCTGAAGCCAGGAGCCAGGTGCCTCTCCTGGTCTCCCATGCGGGTGCAGGGCCCAAGCACTTGGGCCATCCTCCACTGCACTCCCGGGCCACAGCAGAGAGCTGCACTGGAAGAGGAGCAACTGGGACAGAATCTTGCGCCCCGACCAGGACTAGAACCCAGGGTGCTGGTGCCGCAGGTGCAGGATTAGCCTATTGAGCTGCAGCGCCGGCCATAAATAAAAAATCTTTAAAAGAGTTTACTAAGAGAGTAATGGTACCACCTCACACCCACTAGAAGGGCTACCCTTCAAATAACAGAAAATAAGTGTTGACAACGATGTCAAGAAATTACACACTGTTAGTAGGGATGTAAATGCTGCAGATGCTATGGAAAATAATATGGCAATTCCTCAAAAACATTACAAGAATTATCACATCATTCAACAATCTTGTTTCAGGGTATATAGCCAAAAGAATTAAAAGCAGAGTTTTGAAGACATATTTGTATATCAGTGTTTGTAGTAGCATTATTCATAACATCCAAAAGGTAGAAGCAACCCAAGTGTCCTTTGATGGATAAACAAAATGTGGAATGTACATACAATGGAAAGAATATCATTCAGCCTTAAAGAAGAAAGAAATTCTGATGCATGCTATAACATGGATGACATTAGGATGTTACATTAAGTGGAAAAAGCCAGTCACAGAAAGACAAATACTTTATTTAAATAACATACACAGAGTTTTAATTCTGCAAGATATAAAGTATTTTGAAAGGAGGCTGCAAAACAATGGGGGTGTAAATAATGCCACTGAACCATATGCTTAAAAAATGGTTAAGAGGGCAGATTATATCATGAGAAAAAGCAAATTTCCACACATTTTGGATAATAATGATAATAAAGTATAATTTTTATTATACTGTTTTGTTTGTGATAAGTGATAGAATTCTTTATATGGGAATAACATTTTACATACTTTGGGCTCAAAGCTTGATTGCAAAGATTTATTTATTAATGTTGATCTATATTGAGGTTTGACTTACTGCTCTATCTAAAAATAAATATGGCAAAGTATAGTCAAGGCCCATCTGCCTTGCTTTAGTCTAGTAACTCTCCACACCTTGCCAGGAAATACTAATGGCTAATCCCCCAGCTCGCTGAAAGAAGAGCGAAGTGCTACAGCACATAACTTTCTTCCAAAGGAACTGAAGATCTTACAATGATGGTTACCTTTATTAGATAAAGGTGACAGGAAGGCATCTTGCATTTGTGGTCCTTGGGATGAGGCCGTGTCTACTTCATGATGGGTAGGGCCAATGTTGCCAAGCCAGCTTTGACTTCGTTGGATATTAGGGATGCCAGTATCTATCTCAAGGTTTAAAAAAGGTTCAGCTGACTGAGACTTTAACAGCTGCTCTCCCACTGCAGAGTAGGTTCCAAAAACAAATAAATGAGAGAAAAATTCAAGATGTACACAGTGCTATTTCCAATTTAGCTCTTTAATCTCTCCCATACAGCCACCCAATACTAATAGTTCAAAGACAATTATCATCCTACACAGAATCCTTCACCCAAAAACCAGGAACATGGACTTCTAACAAAATGAACTGATTATATAATCCCACCTAACAATCACACCATCATTATCTCTTAACTGGAGAGACAAAACTTTATTATTCTGTTGATCTTCGAGGTAGTTTGCCTTGGTTCTTAAGGTGCTATGAATTTTCCAAAAACCTTTATAATTTTTTAAAAAAATCTTAATAATTAGAGCTGTTTTCATAGATTCAAAGTAAAAAAACCTTTTTTCTTTTACCTCTACAGCTTCATTTTTACTACTGCCCTTGAATGAACAGTATCAGCTAAGTCAAAATTTGGCTCATTTTAATATCATGACTAACTAGTTCCAAAACTCATTCCCACAACAGGATAATCATCGTGGGTTTTATGTCCAGTCAGATCCCAATTTTCTTAATAATGTAAAATAACTGGTAAGATTTATGAATTAGACTTCAAAGAGCTAGGGACATAGGCTCTACTTTAGATGTCAGATGGTGGATGTGCCAATTGATGCAGAGTTGGCTCTCAGCTTTACTGAAGCTGGAATGAAAAAGACTTCCTTGAATACCATTAACAAAATATCAAGAAACTTCGGGTATAACACAATTTTCCTCATGTAAATGACATAGAATCTGTATTACCTGTTCGGTATTTCCCATTTTTGAAAGGAGAACTGATAGAAGAGGCTGGGATGATGGGAAATGGCCACAGGAAATCTTTGTGGAGTCTCTTCAGGGCTACCACAAAGTTGTCTACTCGGGCAGCTCGAGTACGTTCCTTACACAGCCAACTAATTAGTTCAAAGCCCAGTTGGGCTGCAAAACAGCCAAGGTCCTTCAATCGCACATCCTCTAAGAGGCGCCGAGCGTGTCTCCAGAGCATCATGTCAATGTACATGTTCTCAGCACAGTCACTGTCTTTACTCCACCTGTAAGTACAAGCAAAAGACTGCTACAGAATAATCTTGACTGGAGGACTCCACCTAGTTTTATGCAGTAATATTGATACATCAGAGATAAGAGACCCAAGATCTAATTGTGAAAGAAGAGGAAGACAGCATCAGAGGGCTTCTTCTTTGTGTGATATCACAACCTGATGGACACCTGGAATATAGTAGGCTTTTAAGACATATTTGTAGAATGACTACCCAGAATAGGGAATAAAAGGAGGTGTGAATAGTTAAAGAAAGGATACAAATAAATGCTTATTTGAGATGAATGAAGAGATGGAAGGAGATCAGATCAAAGAAACTAAACATGCAGAAGCAGAATGGAATCTCTCAATATGGATTATGTACATATAGGAAAATAAAACTGATTTTTAAAAATTAACTACTTGACTACAGTCTATTATATTTTATTTGTATGAGCTGAGATGGTATAACTGGTTTGGTGAGGTAGTATAGTGGACAAGTAAATGAGCCTTGTCTCTGGAGCAGGATGGTCTGGGTTGAGAGATGGACTCTGCTACTCACTAGTTGTGCAAGCGTTACTAAGTTTTCTCTGAGTTTCTTGTTTCTTCATCTGTACAATGTGGAAACAACTGTGATAGAACTGTTTTAAAGATTAAAAGACATATAAATGCTTAGAACAGTGCCTAGCACAGATAAGCACTTACTAAGTTATTAAACCTGGATTTAAAAATAGGGGATGACTGTGGCCGGCGCCGTGGCTCACTAGGCTAATCTTCCGCCTTGCTGCACCGGCACACCGGGTTCTAGTCCCGGTCGGGGTGCCGGATTTTTTTTTTTTTTTTTAACAGGCAGAATGGACAGTGAGAGAGAGAGACAGAGAGAAAGGTCTTCCTTTGCTGTTGGTTCACCCTCCAATGGCTGCCGCGGCCAGCACGCGGCCAGTCGTAGCGCGCCGGCTGCAGCGGCCATTGGAGGGTGAACCAACGGCAAAGGAAGACCTTTCCCTCTGTCTCTCTCTCTCTCCCACTGTCCACTCTGCCTGTCAAAAAAAAAAAGAAAAATAGGGGATGACTGAGAAAATATTATTGACTGGCAACTGTTTATGACCTTCCATGTTTGCACTTTATTTGTATATGACCTAAAATGTGGGGTGTATCTGCACATGCATGTGTGTGTGATGGGAGATGCTGCTGGTAAGAGAAAGCAGTAAAACATCACAATAAAAAAAAAAAAACACTCAACAAGTCTTCACTGTGCCAGACACTACAGTAAAAATACAAGCCTTATAAAAAAAGAATATGGAGATTAGAAAAACAAGAGCCTACACGTGAAAACCACAGGAAGGAATACAAGGACCTCACAAACCAGAAGAAATTCTAATTATTTCATAATGTTAGTGCAATTTTATAGTCATAGTTCCAGAGACAATAACCCATTTTTATGGGTGATGCAGATTTTGATCTCCAGAATACAATTCCTTTGGCTCACCCACTGTTTGATGACTTCTTTAACATAAAGGTCACAAGACAGTCAAAACGCATAACTGCTACGTTTTATTTTTTATCAAGAGCTGTAGCTGGAAGGAAGGGTAATACTACTGACTTTAAGAAGGCTTCTGGATTATCTGCAAATTTATACATCTCCTTCTGCCTCTGTATTCAGAGGTAATTTAAAGTTAGTTGCAATCACAATAGGTATATCGAAACTGCTCTTAGTACAAAAACGCAGAAACAATACAAAGAGTATAAGAAGTGAATTTTGTAAGAAAGAAAAAGGAAAATCTGCATTGCCTCCATGCCTTTTGGAAAGAAAAAGGAATTGCAATTGAATAAACAGTTGTTTCCATAATCCCTAATTTTATAAATGCCCTGTAATGCAATGTATCATAGATGCACTAAAAGCAGTAATGGTTTTTTTATTCTTTTACCTTTTTCCAGAAGGACCAGATGGCATACTTAGTGTTTTTTGTAAGCTGAATTTACTAGGAGGAACATTTTCAGCTGACTGGGATAAACTGATGCTCCGATTCCTGAAGAACTCAAATCCACCACTTGAGCTGGGTTCCTGTGATTACACACAATGTGCATTACAGTTAGAGAAAGATACTGCGTGCGAGTACAGCCTGGAGAACCTGTGGAATTTTGTGACTAACCTGAGCTGTGGGTGTGGATGGAGGTGTCTCAGATTCTCCAGAGCCAATGGCTTTAAGAAATCGAATCATGTGTCGACATAGGTCCCACTTGCCTTGTTCCAGTGCTGTGTTGAATAGAAGGGTGGCATGTTGCCTACTTACTGCTGGGACTTCCATATTCTACAGAAACAATCAAGGAAAATGGCATACCTTTTACACTAGTTAATTTGGGAAAATCTGAACAGTTTCTTATATCCACTGTTTCCTAAAGTCAAGGAACATAGCTACAACAACACTATGGGGGTCAGTTTAATAGTAAGATTAAAAGGAATATTAAAAGTACCATATAGGAAAAATGAATCAAGTACCCTGCTGTTATAATATAAACTATGATTTACCAACCTCCCACTACCTGTTGAATACTTTATAAATATTATTTCAATTATTTCTCCCAGCTACTGTGTAAAACAGGCGTATCATTCCTACTTTATATATAAGGAAATCAGTTAAATCAACTGTTGAAAATTAACAGAAAGCAAGCTTATAAATCTAGGTTTAGGGGCTGGCACTGTGGTATAGCGGGTAAAGTCACTGCCTGCAGTGCCAGCATCCCATATGGGCACTGGTTCAAGCTCTGGCTGCTCCACTTCTGATCCAGCTCTCTGATGTGGCCTGGGAAAGCAGTAGAAGATGGCACACATCCTTGGGCCCCTGCACCTACGTGGGAGACCTGGAGGAAGCTCCTGGCTCCTGGCTTTGGATAGGCGCAGCTCTGGCTGTTGTGGCCATTTAGGGAGTGAACCAGTGGATGGTTCACTGCCTCTCCTTCTCTCTCTCTGTAACTCCGACTTTCAAATGCATAAATCAATCTATCTAGGTTTACTTGACTCAAAAACAACAACAACAACCCACTCCTTAAGGTATATACATCCTGAGATAGTTTTCTGAGAATGTTAATTAAAAATCTTTGCTCTGCACAATGTCAAGTGGTACTGCTATACTTTCAGCATTTTCAGTACTTACCTCACAGATTCAACCTTACTGCCTGCCTGTGTTGGCCTCCATCAAAAGTGCTCAATAGACAAGTGCAATTTTAACTATCATCTACTATAGTAACTAATAAATTATGCTGGGAAAAAAAGTTTTCAATTCCATTATTAGGGAGATCACTGGAGTGGTGGTGAGGGGTGTGTAGGTATACGTGAATACCAGTTGCCATTTATGTCGATTCTGTTTTTATAATTCTGTAGGTTGTTTCCTTTACAGGTAGTCAAGGAATCAAAGAATCTTAGGGCCCCTGAACCTCTGCTTGAGTAAAAACCACATTTATAGTTAGCTTCTTGGATCAGTAAAACAACTTTGTAGTAACTTGAAAGAATTTTTATGTATAGTTTATCAAATCCATATCAGAGTTATAAAAATAATAAACCAACAGGCTTTTTGGGTCAGATTTATAATGAAACAAAGAGTCTCAAAGAACCAATTATTTTGAGAACAACCATGTGCTATATGAGTCACGGCCGTGGCAAGCTGAGTCTATGGGAATCCAACATAAGGTATATGTTAGGAACTCGACTCTAGTCAGATTTCCTCAGCAAAACCACACTGTAAGAAAACACATCTGTTATTGTGAGGGGCTCAAACTCATTTAGATCCAAAATACATTTCAGTAATCATATATTACATTTCTTATCAATGCATATATATTATATGTATTACAATACATATAATAATACATTTCTTCAGTATTATTTAAAATATTACTCCGGATTTGGTAATCTGCTTTAGGACTATCTGTAGACAAACAGGATAAAATACCCCTGTGCAACATTATATCATTAAAGAAATCTGTGATCATTTGACAAAACTGAGTTCTTCAAAGTGAAAGACACAAACTAAACAGAAAATGTGCCTATTAATTTTGTAAACACAATCACAGTGCCAAATAGGACATTTCTCTAAGTTCAAGCTGATTAGTTCTTGCTTCTTTATAAGAAGAGAATTGTTACCTGTAAGATAATAAGGTAAGAGGCAGCTGTGTCCAAATCCTGAGCCATCAAACATTCCTCAAATAAGTCCTTGGGGTTTCCAACAGCTGCAAAAAGGTAATTCCACAGGGCATATTCAGTCTTCCTGGCACAATGAACAACTGTCTGCAGGAAGAGGGGGAACTCGGTGATAAATTTTGCCACAGTGGGAAGCAGAGGGTCGGGAATGGGTTCCCGTGAGGTAGCTTCTTCTTCCAGCACTTCATGGAGCATGAGCTCTAGCACATGAGGAAAGTAAGGTAACGCAGCACAGGACTGAGCCAAGAGCAAGGCTTGCTCCCCAAGGTTCCTGACCAGAAGCTGACGGAGAATGTGGTGGAGGTAGATCTGAGAGGTTCTCTCCACAACACAGAAAGGGAAGTGCACCTCCAGCTGTTCCCTTGCACTGTTCCGGGTATACAAAGAATCATAGGGCAAAGTGTCATTGACAGCACCAAGGACTAACGCGTCTTCAAACAGAACAGCCAGTGGATAAATATTGATGTGGAAAGGCAGCATGATCCGCTGAGACAAGAAGGAATGGGGCTTGCGGTGATCCCTAGGGAAGAGAGGCAGCCAAACTTTCATGCCTGCACCACCACAGCTCAGCCAGAGGGCCTCCAGAAGGTGCCGTTTCTGTTTATTTGCTCGACACGTAGTCCAGACATTTTCAACAGACTGGGCCAGCACAACAGGAGGACAGAAGGGCAGCTGGAGAAGGAGAGACAAGAATAAGGTTTTTTTGTTCCTTTATTGAATTTGTAGATTCCTAAATTCCTAGGTTTTAGATGAGTAAGTCTTTCAAAATTAAAGTGAAACAATTTTCAGGTAATAGCAGGGAGAACTATTTACAGTTAGAACTAACAATAATGTCATGCCTTTCAAAGTATGTGTATTTAAATCTAAAACCAAAAGAAATCCCATGAACTTCACCACTCTATCTATATCTTCCTATCAGAATTTGCAACTAATAATGCCTAAGCAGTAACATCTGGTATGTGGAATAACTTATTTTCATTTCAGGACTTTACACATAGTCTTATACCCAAAAGCTTAAAATGAATTTTACATACTTTCTCAGCTTCCAAATCACAGGACAGTAGTCTCTCCTCATAAACTTTTTTATTCTTTCCTCCTAATGCCACACACTTGTAACGTTCAAAATGACTTGCACTTTACTCACAAGTTTCCTTTGGTTCGGGTTGCTGTCCTTCTCCCGGATCTGCGGGCCTGACCTGTCCCTCTGCATCATAATGAGCTGTCCTGCAAGGTTTAGCATAATGCTCTCTGCATCACGAGCCTAAGATTTCAGAAACAGAAATGGAATCCATTCTAATTTACATGCATATTTGGGGCGTTTATAGATGGAAGGATATTTGAGACTGTATCATGGATAGCCATTCTGCTAGGCTCTGCGGCAATACAAGGAGCTTTCTGGCTAGGGTGGAAGAAAGCTTAACACATAATGCAATTAATGAACAATATCATCAGTGAACATACAATGAAGGCAGAGCTCAATTATTCTGGAAAAAATAAGAAATCGCTTCAGTGATCTAGCTGGCACAGGTAGAGAAGGTTTCAAGGATGAGAAACGACTAGAAAGATAAACAAGGTGGGGTCAGGGGTGCAAGGGAAGAGGTTGGTAGTTCAGTTGAAGCTGCAATAGAAAGACACAGAGCCAGGATAAAACAGCTCTACAGAGAAGTGAAACCAATCTGGCCAGATTAGGGATATTATGGGAACAGAGCTGGATGTCCAAGAAGGGTTTGGAAAGCCAGGTAAAAGTGCAATAGGAAATATACCGTTGTGTATGGTTCTTGAGTAAGGGATTTACTTTAAAAAATCTGAGTTAATTAGGATGGATTACTGGGGAGAGGCAGATATCATGGGTATTGACTTCAGGAATAAGGCTAGTACCTTTTTATCATGGAAAATTTCAGACAAACTGCAAGATGAGAGAGACTATGGTAATGATTTCCTATTAAATCCTTTCACCTAGCTTAAACAATTATGCACAGTTTGAGAAATACTGTTTTAAAGCAAATCTCAGACATCAAGTCATTTTCAACCACAAAAAGGAAGAGCATATCTTGATTTAAAGAAAAAATAGAACTTACTGTATTTTAGACATGAATGGTAGAAAACAAGCTATATCAAAGATGACTTGTAAGATATCAAATCTAGATGAGGTACTAGGGGAGTTGACATTATCACCAATAGAAGCTAGGAAGGGGGTGGGTGTTGTGGTATCCTGGATTAAGCTACTGTTAGTGACAGTCACATCCCAAACTGAAGTGCTTGGATTGGAGTCCCTCCTCTGCTTCAGATCCAGCTTCTTGCTGATGCCTGGGAAGCAGCTGATGATACTCTAGCACTTGAGTTCCTGTCTCTTACACCAGGATGGGGGTCCTGACTCCTGCCTTCAGTCTGGCCCAGCGCTAGCTATTGTGGGCAGTTGAGGAGTGAACCCAGTACATGTAAGATCTCTCTCTATAGGTCTCTGTCACTCTGCTTTTCTTTCTTTTTTTTTTTTTTATTTGAAAGACAAAGTTGAGAAAAGTATATACATAGAGAGAGTGAGAGCGAGAGAGTGCGCATGCGCGCGAGAGCGAGCGAGGTGTCTCCCATCTGCTGGTTCATTCCCTAGATGGCTGCAATGCCTGGAGCTGTGCCAATCCGAAGCCAGGAGCCTCTTCCGGGTCTCCCACACGGGTGCAGGGGCCCAAGGACTTGGGCCATCCTCTACTGCGTTCCCGGGCCACAGCAGAGAGCTGGATCGGAAGAGGAGCAGCTGGGACTAGAACCGGTGCCCATGTGGGATGCCAGCACTTCAGGCCAGGGCTTTAACCTGCTGCACCACAGTGCAAGCCCCATTCTGCCTTTCAAATAACTAAACATTTGAAAAAAGAAGAGAAATTTGAAAAATAAGACTTTCTTTTCTTTTTCCTCTTTTAAATTTGAAAGACTCTCAATATTTCTAAGTAAAAATGCTGTGAACAGTAACTGATCCAGAGCTGAACATGTCAGCACATCAGTGTGAGGATGAAGCAGTAACGCAAGGACACAGATGTGTTTTCTGAAGCACAGTAAACAGGGGGAGAATGGCCAATGGGCATCACCTGTGCTTCTGAAGGCACTAAGAGAAACAGACAGCCACAGCGGCACATAAACTAAAGAAGAGAATCTCAGGAAGGGAAGGATGACTATTCAGAAGATGTAGGACTGTCCTAGGTTTCAATGCTTGCTGGCTGAATGAATTTGAACTGCCAGTATCATTTAGGGTTCAGTCAGGAAAACAGCAGCCACTCTACATATTCTAATTGCAAACTACCCAGATACAAAATGCTCTTATTTACTGCTTTCAGTTTCTACAGGGGATTGTATATAAAGAAATGGCAAACTAAAAATTTGGACATCTGTCTGTTACACATGACAGACAGTCAATAACTTGCAAGTATGAGGAAAAAAAAGGAATTTAAAAGGTGTGTGACCGGGTCAGCGCTGTGGTGCAGCGGGTTAAAGCCCTGGCCTGAAGCGCCGGCATCCCATATGGGTGCCAGTTCTAGTCCCAGCTGCTCCTCTTCCAATCCAGCTCTCTGCTGTGGCCTGGGAAAGCAGCAGAAGATGGCCCAAGTCCTTGGGCCCCTGCACCCACGTGGGAAACCCGGAAGAAGCTCCTGGCTCCTAGCTTCAGATTGGCGCAGCTGCGGCCATTGTGGCCATCTGGGGAGTGAACCAGCGGATGGAAGACCTCTCTCTCTGCCTCGACCTCTCTCTGTAACTCTTTCAAATAAATAAAAATGAATCTTAAAAAAAAAAAAAAGTGTGTGGAAAGGCACTCAGGTAACAGTAAAATGTAACTAATTGACAGAGGAAAAAGAAAAACACAAACATATGAGTCCAAACTGATTGACTGGGATAGGCCTATGGGCAAACTATTTGAATACATCAAAAGACTCCACGAGCATTCACTGCAATCCATTACAATGTGGCTAATGTCTGTAATGACCACCTTAGTTTCACCCACTCCATTTCAAACTACTTCATAATACACTTCTCTTTTCTATTGAGTGGTATCATTAGTAACCACTCATTCAACATTTTCTACTGATAATATTACAGTACCCTCAGGGAACTATAATGCATTTTTCAGATAAAGGAAGGACTACCTACAGGTCAAAATCCTAAATTTGAAGGAACAATCTTACCCTAAAAACTCTTTGGAAGATGATTCTCCTTGGCAGTTTTGGGAACAAGGAGTTCACTCTCTCAAGAAACAGGCTATCTTACTATCAAACAGTTCTCATTGCTTCTACTTTTAAAAATCTTTAGTATTAAATCAAGACCTGTTTTGCTGGGCATTCTTGGCTTTACTCTGTACCAGATGTAACCAGTCCATTTCCTATCATGCAAAAAATTATTTATTTGAAAGGTAAAGAGGTGACAGACTTCTTCCATTCACCCATTTATTCTTTCTTCAAGTTTTATTTTAAAGGCAGAATGACAGAGAAATTAGGGGATGGGAGAGACAGAGAGAGGGAGGATGGGCGGGAGGGAGAGTTATCATCTATCTCCAGGTTCACTCTCCAAATGACAATTGTCAGGGCTAGGCCAGGCCAAAGTCAGGAGTCAGGAAGGGGCCTCTTTGGCAGGGGCCCAAGCACTTGGGCTATCTTCCACTGCTTTCCCAGGCATATCAGTAGGGAGCTGGATCTGGAGCACAGTAGCCAGGACTCCAACAATGCTATAGAATGGGATGCCGGTGTTACAGGTGGTAGCACAATCCATCCACTGGTTTACTCCCCAAGACGCCTGCAACACCTGGGGTTAGGCCAGGCTGAAGCTAGGAGCCATGAATTCAACCTGAGTTTCCCACATAGGTAGCAGGGATCCTATTATCTGAGTTACCACCTGCTGCCTCCCAGGGTAACCATTACAAGGAAGCTGGAATAGGGAACAAAGCCACAACCCAAAACTAAGTACTCCAATATGGGATGTAGGTGTCCCAAGTGGTGCCTGAATTGCAATGCCAAATGCTTACCCCTCAACATATTTCTTAATTTGCTATTTGCCAAGTTAGCATATCATATTGTTATGAAAGACCTCTAAAATGGGACCCAGAACTACTGATTGCCTACTAAATTTGAGATATATAGTCTCCTCCTTTCTTCCTAACATGAAAACTTCAAAGGTGATGAAAGGTATGGAGAACAGTAGAATGAACCTCCATGTTGCCAACATCTAGGTTCATAATTACAGTGATTTTGTCATCTTTGCTTTATCTGTTTGTCTTAATTTCACAAGATATTTTAAAGCAAGGTATCATGCCCTTTTACCTCTATATATTTAATATGCAGGCATATACTTATATAGCCATTATATCTAATAAAACTTAGAGTTACTCTTTAGTATAATCTCTCATTAATATTTAAATATCCCTAGTTGTTTCAACCATGTATTTTTACTCAGAGCAGGTTTGAATGAAGAGGACATAAATGATCCTACTGACGAGTTTCTGTAGTATAGAAGTGACCACATTTGCCTCACAAATAAGCTTACTTCACTGCATCTGGTTGTGATGGCTCCATCATCTTATTTACTGAGGAAGATCTCTACTTTTCCCCTATGTTACTTACTACTGTCCTACAGAATGTCCTGCAAGCTGCTTCCTTTTGGTGCAAATTAGACTAAACCTGTATCTATTTCCTGTGAATGGAAGATTCCTCTAGACATTTAATTTGATTCAGGTTTAATGATTTGGGCAATAATTGTTCATGTGAACTTATGACAAAACTGATCCCTTAATTATAAAAATTTAATCCAATAATGATTACTGCTTGAATCAATTATTTCCTCAGGACTGCAAAGTGGTGATCTTTGATTCTCACATATTCTACCCATACCCTTCAGCTAGAACTCTTCTGCAAAACAGAACTTTTTACTAGCAATTGGGACTATCTGGTTACCATGAAATATAATTTGCAAAGGAACTGAGAGTTAAATTTTATTTTTGGTTTTATTTTAAAAAAAGATTATTTATTGGAAAGACAAAGGGACAAAGAGATACTTCCCATCTGGTTCACTCCCCAAAAATCCATAACAGCTGAGGCTGGGCCAGGCCAAAGTTAGGGACTCAGGTACTTGGGCCATCACCTACTATTTTCTAGTTTGTGCACTAGCAGAAAGCTAGAATCAGAGGTGGAGCTGCTAAATACCACATGACCCATTCCTGGAGCTATATTTTAAATGAGAAAAACAAATTACAAGTTTTATCTACAGAAGGGAGACCAACATAATAAAGGGGAATAGAACAAGTATTATAGGAAATAGCTATAGAACAAGTATTATAGGAGATATTATAGGAGTATTTAGCAAGTAATGAAAATACACACAGAAAGGTATGAGAAAGGGAAATTGAATGATAACTGTCGAAATGTTTTAGGATTAATCATGTCAGAGTAGTTTTTTAAAATTTCTTGTTCCAAAGAGACATGGGATAGGACATTACAAAAAATATTTTAGATTCTTTTTTTGTTTTAAAGATTTTATTTATTTATCTGAAAGACAGAGTTACAGACAGGGAGAGACAGAAGCCAGAAGCTTCTTCCAGGTCTCCCATGCAGGTGCAGGTGCCCAAGCACTTGGACCATCTTCCACTGCTTTTCCAGGCTATAGAAGGCAGAGGCTTAGCCTACTATGCCACAGCACCAGCCCCAGACTGCTATCTCTCTACATCTCATGTTTAGTCAATCTAAACTTCTGATCCCATGGATTCTGTTCTCTTGTCTATGGCTTTTGTCTTTACTCATTCTCTAGGTTTTAATTTAAATGGTATAGGAATCATTGGTCAGCCTACACCAGGTTTTTATTATATGCTCTGGCAATAACTTACATTATTTTTTGGCACATGAATCACAATAACAATTGATTATATATTTGTTTAAAATCTGTGCAGAAACCATTTCTGTTAGTTTGCTATTCCAACTTCTCATCTTCATACAACGTATATTACAGATTTTTAGTATTTATTTGCTGAACAAACAACTCAAAATTTATCAGCTTAGAACACCAAAAACTGAGATATATAAATTGCAAAGAGGTCTAATAATTGAATGATACCTGCTGTGGCATTTTCAAGGTGATTCCATTCTCTGTACTCACTGATGTCAGAGTGACAGATACTACCAGGAAAGGATGAGGAATGTAACGTGACATGGAGACCTCCTGAAGAACCTGAATGCCAGCAGTAGTATTTGGACTGTAAAAAAAAAAGAAATGACATAACAACAACATGGCTAATAAGGTTTTTTCTCTCTTTTCTGCTATTAATAATACCAGTAGATTTTATGTTTGTGGAAGATCCAAATGTCTTCTACCTATCATCTTCTCCCTAAGGATCCTTCAGATCAGGGCTGGTAAGGATGAGGAATCCAAAGAACGCATATGGGGATGAGAGAGAAAAAGAGATTAAGATGTAAGAGAGAAGAAAAAACTAAGGAAGAGCTGTAAGAATGGAAATATTTAATGGAAAAAAACCCTAGTTGAATGAGAAAGGATGAGGGATCAATCACTGAAGCTAATAATGTGCCCTAATTTTTAACTTTGTGTACTTTCCAATCTGTGTGCTACTATAGCAAATACATGTCTCATGGTTGTTTAAATAAAAACAAAAATACAAAAAAATCTCTGAGAACAAAATAAAATTCAAGAGGTATAGTCTAAATGACACAAGTTGACCAGACATTAAGAGTTATCAGGCAACATGTAATAACAATAGGATTTCAGTTCTTCCAGCTCCAGAGGACAGTCATCTAGCTCAGTGGAGATAAAGTGTGTCTGCTAAAGTCTTCCCAAAGTCTTAAAGCTGTGGAGCTCCCTGAAATTTCTCCAAGTATTTGCAATACCAAGGTAGTTAGTAATCACTTTTCTTCAGGTTGTGATAAAAATTTAAGGGTTTACTTCATCCCAAACAAGATATTTTTTTTTTCAAATGAATCCAGGTAGATTAGCTGAAGAAGTTAGTATTTCTTTTGGCATAGTTTCTATATAAATAACACCAATTAAAATTCCTTCCTTTTTTGACTTCTAAACAAAGTAATAAATAGAAAGATAGAGTAACTATTTTGACAAATTAGGATTTACAGAGGAGCACTTCTTATGGTATATACTCACCCATCTGATTTTCTTTCAATACTATAAAGGCATATTGAACAGTCTGCTCTAAATACTATTATCATGTCCCGGAAGACACTGAGCAGTAATGTTTCTGCTTGTGTTTTGGTTACATGAGCAAAGGCATTGTCCAGATTTGATGTTCTTAAGTATACTCTGAGCTGCAGAAAACAAAAATAAAGAAAATTAAAAAACAAGAAGACCACTAGGAAGAGTTAAGTACTTAGACATGCAGTTTTTTAGCTATTGACTTTTTTCTTCAAGTAATATGAATTAAAAGAACAATAAATGGATTGTGGTTATATTTTGGCAAACTAGGCTCATTCTACAAATAACCATAGGATGAAGTGCTCAAAACTATGAATGCATTATTTTCAGAGATTCCTTTTAGAACTGCATACCTACACCTGGTTTGATATGAGACCAGCAATTTCTCAAAACAACCTAATAAATCAGTAAATCAGTAAATCTATATCTAAGAAGTCACTTTTTTTTTTTTTTAAATAAAATTTATTTGAGAAGCAGGGGGAGGGAGGATGAAGGGAATCGAGGTATCCCATCACTGGTTAATTCCTCCAATGGTGACAATGGAAGGGGTAGGGTGGGGCTAGGCTAGGCTAGGCCGGGCCTAGCTTTTAAGTATTTCATAATTATTTTTAAGTTTTACAGAGAATGTCTAACAGTCAAAATACATACAGGTTATTTTAGAAGCCCCAGTTGCCAATTAAAGTTAACATATGCTAAATTCTTCATTAATAAAATAAAATGTCTTGTTTAGTTTAAAATACTTTTAAACAAAAAATTTTTATTTATTTGAAAGGCAGACTTAGAGAAAGAAACCTCCCATCTGCTAGTTCATTCCCCAGAGGGCTGCAACAGTCAGCACTGGGCCAGACTAAAGCCAACAGCTTTATCCAGGTCTCCCACAGCGGTGGACAGGGGTCCAAACACTGGGACCATCCTCTGCTGCTTTTCCCAGACCATTAGCAGGGATCCGAATCAGAAATGGAGCAGCTAGGATATGAACTGGCACCCATAAGGGATGCCAAAGTCACAAGGTGGCAGCTTTACCTGTGAGCCCCTAATTCTGGCCCTCAACAGGCTGATTTCTACATAAAATTAGACTGTGCTTAAGAGTTTTAAAATATAAAAACGTATTATTTCTGAGAGAAAAAAAAAAATCCTTACCTCTTCTTGATGGTCACTCATGTTATAACATGCAAGGACCATAAAATCATTCCACCAGGCTAAGCCACCTGTCACAATCATATTTTGTTCCTTAAAAGGAAAATTTTTTAAAAATTATGTTACCAGCAATTATAAGAAAGTAGTACATCTATGAAATATTCTTAGGCAGTCAATGAAAGTTCAAATTTTTACCGCTTTACTTTCTCCTCATTTATTACTCTTGGACCTTTATTAATAAAGATTCATATCCTATTTTTAAAAGTAAGTATTTCCATAAGAAATCAAATAGATCATCCAAAATAACTGGGTGTCATATAATATTATTATTCTCCCATCCAGAGATCTTGGTTTAAATTCTAGTTTTATCATTTATCAGATGAGTGACTCTGAATCCTGGTTTTTCTTATATCAAATGGTGATATTATATAGATAAGTGAAGTAATATAACATACATGAAAGTGCCTTCAAGTGCTTGGTGAAACAACAGGCAGCTATTAAATGTTAATTTCCTTCTCTTGTTCTCATATTTGATTTTTGCAAAATCCAACCGCATGTATACATATGTGGTATCAAAATATGTGTTATACACACAGATAAGCTGGGAATGATACTAAATTTTGGAGAAATTTATTCTGATCACATATAATGAACTCACCTGGAAAGTAAAATTAAATCCTCAACTGAATTATTATTATTTACTTTAGCAAGAGTCGAGAACAAACTATTTTAATACAAGATCCTTCATCAGAAATTATCAAATGTTTTATCAAAATCACCTCCCAAATACTATCCAATATATTTTATATTGACTTTCTTCCTTTTCTGCAATAATGGTTTACTTTATTTCATATTGTACTTCTCTTATACTTTGAGAAATAGGTTTTTAATTTCAAAAAGACCAACCTGAGTAATGTTTCCAAAAAGTTTCCATTTTTTGGTGAGCAACGAGTAATGTGCAAAACCAAACTTGCCAACGACAGCAATATTCTGTCCAAGTTTATCGATAGCTGAAAACTGTTTAAAAAAAAAGAACTCTTTCTTATAAGTCTAAATACTTCATTAAAATTACATCAGACTATTAGTAAATATGTGTTAACTGAATTAAATATAAAATGCTAAATTAAAAACCCATTTATACAGTTACATTTGATAACAACTCACCCGTATTGGCCAATTGCTCTCTAGATAGGTGCTGGAAATCTATAGAAAACAACAACATCACAATGGTAAGACTTACCAAATTATTTAAATGTAAAGCATCTAGTTATCACTACGTGAGATTTATCTTTATGCATAATGTTTAAGATGTCTCATGGACATTAGCAGTAGAGCACTTGAAATTCACTATTTGTATATGAGCCAGTATTTCACATCTCATGTGGCAATCACTTCAAGTTTCCAGATATCACACATTCTTCCTTTTTTCCCAACAATCTTTCTGTTCATTTTGGCTTAAATATTCAACTCAATAAATACAGATTGGTATATTTAGAGAAGAACCCATGATGGTAGCTATGAATTCTGCAGACACCTAGTTTTGGTCTGCTGATAACAACCACCCTAGGGGCCAGTGCTACTGTGTAGTAGGTTAAGCCTCCACCTGCGGGACCGGCATCCCATATGGGTGCCAGTTTGAGTCCTGGCTGCTCCACTTCTGATCCAGCTCCTTGCTGATGCACCTGGGAAAGCAGTGGAAGATGGCCCAGATGCTTGGGACCCTGCACCCACATGGAGGACCTGGAATAAACTCCTGGCTTTGGATTGGCCCAGCTCTAGCCATTGTGGCCATCTGAGAAGTGAATCAACAGATGCAAGACGTTTCTCTCTGTTTCTCTGTGACTCAACCTCTCAAATAAATAAATAAATCTTAAAAAAAAAAAGAACCACACCCAAACAGCCATATCTAATAAAAGTATATCCTTAGCCAAGATTTTTGGTTTTTAATGAAAATATTTTATACTTTTGGATTAAAAAAGCAATGTTTTTAAACTTTAACAATATAATCATTCACCACGTACAAAATGAAATTCTATTGCTCAGGGACAACTACTAGTTAGCCTTTGTTGTCATTTAAAAAACATCTATACATGGTAAGAGTATATGTAAGTATTACTTTTCTATTGGGGTATTCAACTTACTCATCTATAAAAACTTACTCATCTAATAGATATTAACCCTTTATTTCCAACTTAAGTAATAAATATATTTTCTAATCTTATATCTTTGTAGGTGGTGCTCTGTTTCATACATCTCTGTGTGTAGAATCATTATATCACCCTAGCAACACTTTTAAACTTAAAGAATACTCTGTGGAATATCAATGTAGGTCAGGAAGCTTTATTGAGTCTGATTTCTCTACTGGCCTATTAATTAGTTTTCACAACATGTGGTAGCAATGGGGTGAGAATTAGTGAACTGACAGACTCTTCTTTCCCAGGGTAAGAAAAGCTTCATTTTATTCAGAATTATTTCCATTTTACTAAAAAAAAAAAAAAAAAAGTAACACTTTTTTTTTTGTTTTTTTTTGTTTTGGCCAGGCAGAGTTAGACAGTGAGAGAGAGAGAGAGAGAGAGAAAGGTCTTCCTTCCATTGGTTCACCCCCACAAATGGCTGCTACGGCCAGCGCACCATGCTGATTTGAAGCCAAGAGCCAGGTGCTTCTCCTGGTCTCCCATGCGGGTGCAGGGCCCAAGGACTTGGGCCATCCTCCACTGCACTCCCGGGCCACAGCAGAGAGCTGGACTGGAAGAGGGGTAACTGGGAAAGAATCCGGCGCCCTGACTTGGACTAGAACCCAGGGAGCCGGCACTGCAGGCGGAGGATTAGCCAAGCGAGCCGCGGCACCGGCCTCGTCACATATTTTTATTTTTATTTTTATTTTTTGACAGGCAGAGTGGACAGTGAGAGAGAGAGACAGAGAGAAAGGTCTTCCTTTGCTGTTGGTTCACCCTCCAATGGCCGCTGCGGCCAGCGCACTGTGGCCAGCGCACCGCGGTGATCTGATGGCAGGAGCCAGGTACTTATCCTGGTCTCCCATGGGGTGCAGGGCCCAAGTACTTGGGCCATCCTCCACTGCACTCCTTGGCCACAGTAGAGAGCTGGCCTGGAAGAGGGGCAACCGGGACAGAATCCGGTGCCCTGACCAGGACTAGAACCCGGTGTGCCAGCGCCACAAGGTGGAGGATTAGCCTAGTGAGCCACGGCGCCGGCCTCATCACATATTTTTAAAAAAAGAAAGCCAAATTAAAAAGGCAAGTAGAGTGCATTCACATCCATCAAGTAAAAGCAATATGCCAGAAATATCTGTATTAACCCTGACAACAACAGAACTGGTAAGACTTACTAAATTATTTATACATAAAGTTTATGTCTGACATGAAGTTTAAATATTTTGACAAAATGTATTCATAAATCTATCTGTTAGACTTCATTTAATATCTAGTAAGAAAACTTAAAATTCAACTAAATTAACAGCTTTAAGTACTTCAGGATTTTCTTAATCCTAGAACTGGTTTGTTGAATCCTACTTTACAGAACTGAAGTTAACAGTGTTGGGGCCGGCGCTGTGGCTCACTTGAGTAATCTTCTGCCTGCAGCACCGGCATCCCATATGGGCACCAGTTCTAGTCCCGGTTGCTTCTCTTCCAATCCAGCTCTCTGCTGTGGCCCGGGAAGGCAGTGGAGGATGGCCCAAGTGTTTGGGCCCCTGCACCCGCATGGGAGACCAGGAGGAAGCACCTGGCTCCTGGCTTCGGATCGGTGCAGATCCGGCTGTAGTGGCCACTTGGTGGGTGAACCAATGGAAGGAAGACCTTTTTCTGTGTCTGTCTCTCTCACTGTCTAGCTCTATCTGTCAAATAAATAAATAAAATAAAATTCTAAAAATAAACAGTGTCATGACACAAGCTAGAGGAATGCTTAACTTGGATCTTAACAGATATGCTGCACTATTCAGGCCAACCAATAACATTCACTACAATGGGTAAAATTACTTCAGAATAACAATAAACTAGGTAATGACTGGCTGATAAAATAAAGCTGAAAGCAATTTTGGAGGCTCTAAGTGAGGGGTGGGGAATCCTTTTTCTACCAAGGGCCATTTCGATATTTATGACATCATTCACAGGTCATACAAAATTATCAACTTAAAAATCAGCCTGCTATAGATTTACTGAATTTCAAGTCCTGCCTGCAGTTGCGTTGGCAGGGCCAGACCAAATGATCTCACAGTCCTTATATGGTCCCTGAGCCAGATGTTCCCATTCCTGGTAAAAGTAAAAAACTATTTTTTTTTAAAATTAAGAAAAGTAAGTCACTTGAAGAAGGATGTACCACAGTATCACTGTCCCCACCACCCATTACAATAAAAGAAATCCTCAGTTTCCCAAACTTTGGTGTTTCCACAAAGTGCAAATGGTTTATTTTCAAAATTCAAGGTATAAGTGTAAAATGAAATTTCATTTCTCACTCAGTTTGTTTCTGAAGATGTTATGACATATAGACTAGAACAAAAGCTTCTATTTTCCCCAGAAGTTCACTTTACTCATCTATGTGTCACCTGAACTCTGAGCTGTGCTCCTACACTGAGAATAGTACATGGCAGAAGGAAAGAGGCAGGTGATGAAGAAACTCAGGTCATGATTATATATTTAGGGCACTAAAGTCAGGCCACATCACTGGCAAATTGAGTGCTAGGGTACAAAATCACTAACCTTAGCTTAGGATTTCCCAGTCTCTCTTACAGAACCACATCTACCTTTTTTTATTTATTTCCAAAAAGTCAGTTCTGCTAAAACTCTGTCTTCTGCCTAGGTAAGTTTTGTCTGTAACTGTGTGAGACTAGAAGTCAACCACTGAGCAGATTTAATTTGTGCTAAATACCATACCTGGAACATCTGATATATGTTATATATTGAGAACAAATCGTAAGTCTAACAGCCTTTAAAATCTACTTTATGGGGGCTGGTGTTGTGGCATAGCAGGGAAAGCTACTGCCTATGATGAAGTGTAACAGATAGATAGGTACCAGTTTGTTTCCCAGCTGTTCCACTTTCAATTCAGCTTCCTGCTAATGGCATTGAAGAAGCAGCAGAAAATAGCCAGGTGCTTGGGCCCCCGCACCCATGTGAGAAACATGGATGAAAGCTCCTGGCTTTAGTCTGGCGTAGCTCTGGCTGTTGCAACCATTTTGAAGTGAACCAGAAGATGGAAGATCTCTTGCTATCTCATTCTCTCTAACTCTTTCAAATAAATAAGTCTTCGAAAAAAAGTACTTTATTAACATCTGTAACATTATTGCCTGATATACTGTAGATGCTTATTATCACATATTTTGTGCATTTTGTGAACCTTAATCTTTCCTATTAGCCAGGTTATCTACAAAAAAAAAACCAACACCATCATAACAATGCGTAATATGATGCATGCATCTTTCAGATGCTTCTGTCATATACAATACAACAGTCTAACAAGGACCACAGGCTAAAACTAGAAGGATTCTTTTTTTAAATTTCACATTGTACTCCATCGGTAAATAAACTACTTTCAAAATACAAAACACTTGTAGTTAGGAAAACTAAACAACAACAAAACAACAAACCACTTTTACTGACTATTACTAACCGACTTCTACCAAGTATGTATTTGTTTTGTTTTAGTTAAAGAAAAAACACAATTAACTTCCCATCCGGAAGTTAAGGAATGCGAGGAAGATTTTGACAAACCAAAAATCCAGTACTTGAGATGAGGAACAGAAATAGCAGCAGAATTAGTTATAGCTCATTAGATGAGCTCTAAGCTACAAAAGCAGCATTCAGGGGCTGGTGCTGTGTCGAAGTGGGTTGATCCTCCACCTGTGGTGCTGGCATCCCATATGGGTGCCGGCGCTAATCCCAGCTGCTCCTCTTCTGATCCAGCTCTCTGTTATGGCCTGGGAAAGCAGTACAAGATGGCCCAAGTCCTTTTGTGGGAGACTTGGAGGAAGCTCCTGGCTTGGATTGGCATAGTTCTGGCCATTGCAGCCATCTGCTAATGGCCAGGGACAGCAGTGGAACATGGCCCAAGTGCCTGGGACCCTGGACCCATGTGGGAGACCCAGAAGTTCCTTGCTCCTGGCTTCGGATTAACTTAGCTCTGACTGCTGTGGTCATTTGAGGAATAAACCAGTGGATAGAAGACCTTTCTGTCTTTCCCCTTCACTGTCTCCAACTCTACCTCTCAAATAAATAAATAAAATCTTAAAAAAATAAATGGGGTTGCCGCTATGGCATATAGGGTAAAGGTGCTGCCTGCAGTGCCGGCATCCCATATGGGCACTGGTTTGAGTTCTGGCTGCTCCACTTCCAATCCAGCTCTCTGCTATGGCCTGGGAAAGCAGCAGAAGATGGCCCAAGTCCTTTGGCCCCTGCCCCTGCGTGGGAGACCAGGAAGAAGCTCCTGACTTCGGATTAGTGTAGCTCCGGCCGTTGCGGCCAATTGGAGAGTGAACCAGCAGATGGAAGACCTCTCTCTCTCTCTGCTTCTCTTTCTCTCTCTGCTTTTTTTTTGACAGGCAGAGTGGACAGTGAGAGAGAGAGACAGAGAGAAAGGTCTTCCTTTTGCCGTTGGTTCACCCTCCAATGGCCGCCACGGGCGGCGCGCTGCGGCTGGCGCATTGCGCTGATCCAATGGCAGGAGCCAGGTACTTATCCTGGTCTCCCATGGGGTGCAGGGCCCAAGTACTTGGGCCATCCTCCACTGTACTCCCTGGCCACAGCAGAGAGCTGGCCTGGAAGAGGGGCAACCGGGACAGAATCCGGTGCCCCAACTGGGACTAGAACCCGGTGTGCCAGTGCCGCAAGGCGGAGGATTAGCCTAGTGAGCTGTGGCGCCGGCCTCTCTCTGCCTCTCTTTCTCTCTCCCTGTAACTCTGACTTTCAAATAAATAAAATAAATCTTAAAAGAAAAATCTTTAAAAAAAGCATACAAAGTTTTAAGTCACGCAAACAAATCAACTTTGATGGAAGATGTGGTCCTTATCCTAGGAAAGAGGCTATGTTGAAGGAAGAAGTCAATCAGGCACCCAAATTTCTTCTAGGAGTGATTATTGATGGTTAAAGACCTTGGAAGGAGAGTCACCATGCATCACTCCAAAGAAACACCACTATTTTACTGCATTCAATCATGAGGTCAGAATGCTAGCAAAGTATAGTGCAACTGCAAGTAAAAACACCACCAAATGGGTGGATTTTAAGTTCAGCTCAAGGTCAGTAAAAATATTAAATGATTCAGTATTTAGTACCTAGGTTTTAAAATATTTAGACTGTTACTTACTTTAACATAGATCACAGTGAAGGGTGGATCTTCAACTATGCTACTATATGACCCTGGGAAAGTCATGTAACTTTCCTGAGTCTGTTTCCTCATGAATAAAACCCAGTTGGACTCTATGATCACTAAGGTCCTTCCAGCTCTAAAAATTCTATGAGTTCATTACAATTTAATTGTTTTGTGGTACACTTTATTATTCTTAAACAAAATGAAAAACATTTTAGGTAAACTCGATTTTAAAAATCTCATCTCTTCAAATGTCTTTAGCTATCTAATGAAATAATGACAAAATAATCTTGTAGTTTCTTAAGTCCTAAAATAAGTGTTATATACTTTTTATGTGGAATGCTTACTACACACCTAAGAATCACTGAATTTTTGAGCTGGAAGGAAATTCAATGTTTGGTATTGCCTGATGGACTTTTGAGTTCCAGACCTACCTTCTTTGATCCTTTGCTCTACTTGGCTCTCTGGTAACACAGACCTGGCTAGGCAGAACTGGCATTGATGCTAGGTCAGTGTAGAATGAATAGCTCAAAATATGGGAAAATGAAAATAGCAGAGAAATGGCTATAGGAGAGAAGGGAGCAGTGGAAAATTTTAGTCAAGGAAGTAGCTAATGCAGTTTTATTTAAAAAATTGTAAAATTATAAAATAGTATGCACACTGTTTGACTCTATGAATTTATTAACATAAGTTAAATTTTCTTTTAGTGTAAATACATCACTGTAGGAGATTTTCCTCCTTCAATCTTTCACATAATGATCATTTTTATGTCTTTCATTATCTCCACTAAAAAAAAGAAAACTGAAAACAGCATGAGAGCTGAAGTAAACTAGTAAAGTACAAGTATAGAGAGCAGAAGTAAGGCAAAGGATTATGGAAATAGAAACTGACTAAAATAAACTAATCTAAAAGTAGGTTCTGATACACTTAAAACATTTTGCTATCAAATGGAGAAAGAAAACAGTACTTTGAAACTATGTATAAAGCTTTTATTAAGAAACTTCAATTTATTGATTTCCTGAAATTTTAACTGCTCTCAAAATATAGAAATTCCTAAAAGAAATTGCTAATTTAGAAGTGACAACAGAATAAATAACTTGTAATAAGATTAAATATTAGAGGTAGCATTTACATTTAGTACAGAGGTTAAAATGCCACTTGGGATGCCTATACCCCATATTGCAATCCCTGGATTAAGTGCTAGTCTGCTTCTAATTCCAGCATCCTACAAATGTGCATCCTGGGAGGCAACAGAGGACTCAAGTACTTGAGTCCCTGCCACTCATATGGGAGATCTGGACTGAGTTCTGAGCTCCTGGCTTCAGATTGGCCCAACACTGGCAGTTGCAGGGAATTGGTGAGTGAACCAGCAGATGGAGGACATCTCATTCTCTGTCTTTTAATCAAATCAAAAAATTAAAAGAGTGAATAATAAAATTATTTAATGAAGTTCTAGACTGATCACAAGTTTATGATTGGGTCCAATGTCAGGTGATACAGCTCAACATGACTTCAGCTGGACTACTGGGTTGACTGCACATGGTACTAATCAATATTGTCACTTTCCATAAACTTAATGAACCTTTCCCTATGCAAATGCATAAACAGATTTATACAAAAACAAGACAAAGTAAACTAAGCAGTTAATCTTAATGAGAGTGGAAAACCTGAACTTCTAGCTTTTGATACTACTAATGAACTTAAAGCAGGTGGGAACATACTCTACAGCAAATGGAAAGCAGCAAGAAAAAAGGACAAAAACACAGAAAGCAGAAGAGAAATATGACAGTCACAGGTTTAAAAAGGTTCTGTTTTCTGAAGTAATGGCTGAAATACTTAAAACTCTGCTCCAAGTTATATCCTACCAAGAACTATGTCACTAGCAATCAGTAATTGAAGACTTACCTGTACAACATGCCAATGCCTATGTCCAAGTAAAGTGCTTAAACTCTGAGACTCTAATCCTCCATCTGCGAATGGGCTTCTGTCCTGACCAAGCTTGTGCTGGGAGTGTGCTGAAGAACTCCTGGGATTCTGGGTTTGGGAGGCCTCTCCACAGTTCAAATACAAGCGATCCTCCCCCTGAAGCAATACTTGCTCTTGGTTACTCTAGATAAAGGAAAGAGGAAGAAAAGTGGCTAAGACGAAAGCAAATAAAAGTAACTTGGTATTAGGTAGAGGCAAGTAATACAGTGATTTAGTTTTATCATAGGAAATATATTTTGCAACATTGTTGCCTTTACATAGAACAGACTGAACAATGATCTCATGCACTATTATATTTAGAAAGAACAGGTACTATTTTAATCATTACTTTCCAGTGTAAATAAAATCTTTGTCAAAGTTTATTTTTTTAGAAGATATTATTTATTTATTTATTTATTTGAGAGGCAGAGTTATAGACAGAAAAGGAAAGACAGAAAGGTCTTGCATCTGCTGGTTCATTCCCCAAATAGCCACAATCAATGGGTGGAGCTGGGCCAGGAGCTTCTTCCGGGTCTCCCATGCGAGTACTGGGACCCAAGCACTTTGGCCATCTGCCGCTGCTTTCCCAGGCCATAAGCAGAGAGCTGGATCGGAATAGGAGGAACCAGGACTCGAACTGGCGCCCATATGGGATGCCAGCACCACAGGCTGAGGCTTAGCTTTCTACACCACAGCAATCACCCCCAAAGTCTATTTTATAATACAGTGGTAAGCATGTCCAGGTTTACAACTGCTACATTATAATTCAAAAATGGCAATGTTATGAGAGATTTCTCCATCTGAAAATCTAAATATGGCTACTCATTCTCAGTAAGAAAACACGTCTGTTCAAAGAATCTACTTGTGTGTATGCTCATCCATGCACCCACATGGTAGGAAGAGGGGGTGGATCAGGACAGGGATAACTGGTTGTTGGAAGGTCTTCTAAACCATAAGGGATGAAGAAGAGAAGCCTAACCCTGTAGTTTTGCTCCAGAAAAATTAAATAATCACCTGGTGAACGCTTGATTAATGCAAAGGACTATGCCAGCTACTGAGGATATTCAGACAAATAAGACAGTTGATGCATTTATTAATTATGCCCTGATTTTCAGATAGAAAACCACTGCTCTCAAAGGTGGGCAGACTCGTGATTCAACTATTTCAATCAGACAGGCTAGCACCCTACCGGCTCACCTTTCCATTTCAGTATATACTGTCATAATATAAAACTCAAGGGTGATTTAAAACCAGTATTTGGGATGGGGGAGCAAGGAAAGAAATACTTCATTCCTGTTTTTCTGGGGGTTTCTTAGTTTTCAATTGCAAAAATGGGAACTGAGATTTGGGCTACTTTTACAGCATGTTATAAATTTTAATGAGAAAATTGTTCTACATATGCATTTAAAAAAACCAGTGATGCTAATATATGTTAAGATAGGAAATCCTAACCAGTAACATATATATAGTGTATATATATACACACACACACACATATATATATTATATATATTATACTGTATTGTAAATATATATATATATACACACAATACAGTATAATATTAATGTGCCTTACTCAGATTGAGATATCTAAGTTTATCTAATTTGGAGTAGAATTTCTTAAAAAAAAAAAAAAAGATTTATTTATTTATTTATTTGATAGGTAGAGTTACAGACAGTGAGGGGGAGAGACAAGAGAGAAAGGTCTTCTGTCTGCTGGTTCACTCCCCAAATGGCCGCAACGGCCGGAGCTGCGCCGATCCAAAGCCAGGAGCCTCCTCCTGGTCACCCACACAGGTGCAGAGGCCCAAGGACTTGGGCCATCTTCTACTGCTTTCCCAGGCCACGGCAGAAAGCTGGATTGGAAGAAGAGCAGCTGGGACTAGAACCAGCGCCCATACGGGATACTGGCACTGCAGGCAGAGGATTAACCTATTGCGTCACAGCGCCGGCCCCTGGAGAGGTATTTCTTAAAGCAGATTCCTAGGCATATTTTTTTCAAGGTGTTCCTTAAAAATTCATAAATAAGCATTGGAAACATTGTTTTTTATATTCCAACTTCAGGATTTTTTTAAAGATTTATTATTTTACTTCTTTGAAAGGCAGAGTGAGCAAGAGAGAGAGATCGTCCATCTGCTAGTTCACTCCCACAATGACCAGGGATGTGAAGGTGAAGCCAGGAGCCAGAGACTCATCTGGGTTTCCCATGCAGGTACAGGGATCCAAGCAGTTGTGCCATTCTCTACTGCTTTCCCAGCACATAAGCAGGGAGCTGGATTGGAAGTGCAACAGCTTGGACTTCAATCACTGCCCATATGGAATGCTGGCATTGCAGGCAGTGGTTTAACCTGCTGTGCCACAACACCAGCCTCAACTCCAGGATTTTCATGATATACATTGCTAAAGAAATCTCCACTGCTTTGTTTTAACGTCTTTATTTTCACTTATGTGAAAACATTTTTTTTTATCCTATGGAATCCCTACTAATAACTCTCATATACTGTGCCCAGAAAAAAAGACTTCCAAACCAGCACCCTTGCTGATGTGCCTAGGAAGGCAGCAGAGGATGGCCCACATGCTCATGCTCTTGCCACCCATGTGGGAGACCTGGAGGAAGCTCCTGGCTCCTGACTTTGGCCTGGCACAGCCCTGGCTATTTTGGCCATCTAGGGAGTGAACCAGTGGATCAAAGACCTCTCTCTCCTTCTTTCTTCCTAACTCTTTCAAATAAATAAATATTTTAAAAAAATACAGATGCACATAAAAACTCTGTTCAGAAATAAAATTTTGGTATAAATTTTACATAAACTAACAAATGAGGCCAGTGCTACATTGTGGAGGATTAAGCTGCCACTTGTGATGCCAGTATCCCATATGGGAGTGCCACTTACAGTCATGGATGCTCTACTTCTTCTGGTCCAGCTTCCTGGTAATATGCCTAGGAAGGCAGTGGAAAATGGTCCAAAATGGACCCAAACACCTGGACCACTGGCCATCCATGTGTGAGACCAGGATGGAATTCCTGGCTCCTGGCTATGGCCTGGCCCAGACCTGCTGGTACAACCAATTAGGGAGCTAGCCAGCAGATACAGGCTAGGATTAATGTTTTTCTCTTTCTCTCTCCTTCTCTGCATTTCAAACAAATAAATCTTGTAAAAAAATAACAGAGAAAGGCATTTGGCATAGAGATTAAGATGCCACCTAGGACACTCTTTTCCCATATCAGATACCTGGGTTCAAGTTTTGGCTCTGTCTCTGATTCTAGCTTCCTGCTGCTGTGTACCCTGGGAATTAGCAAGTCATGGTTTCAAGTACGTGGGTCACTGCTAGCTATATGTGAGAATCAAATTGACTTCCTGGCTTCTAGCTTCCACCTGGCTAAGTCCCAGCTGTTGTGGGCATTTGGGTAGTGAACCAGTAGATGCAAGATCTTTCCTCCAAATAAATAAAAATAAAATTATTGGGGCAGAGCTGTGTTGCAGTAGGCTAAGCCTTCACTTGCAGCGCTAGCATCCCATGTGGATGCTGGTTCATGTCTTGGGTATTCCTCTTCCAATTCAGCTCTCTGCTTCTGGCCTGGGAAAGTACTAGAGGATGACCCAAGTGCTTGGGCATGTAAACCAGCATACGGGAGCTGAAGGAGGCTCCAGCCATTGTGGCCATTTAGGGGGTGAACCACCAGACTAAAGACCTTTCTCTCTTTCTCTCCCTCTTTCTGTGACTCAACCTCTCAAATAAATAAATAAATGAAAAATCTTTAAAAAAACTCTTTTTAACCCACAAATATCAGAAAAAATATATAAAAAAAGATAACAGGTCAATTGTGGGAGTACATTCCACACACTTGTATCAAAAAGAAGGAACTGAAATGCCAATCTGAAAGATACTAAAATGAAATCAGTTTTAAATACACTTACCATACAAGGGTTTACAGTGAGTACACTCTTGATGAACTGAAAGAGCAGAATGCTGGGCTGCTTAATTATACTCCTGAAGTCAGATTCAATTTCATTGTGTTGAGAACCAAATCCGCTGATTACCCACAGGTGATAACCTTCTGCACCCCAGCTCTTGAAAGGAGGAAGAGGAAGAAGAAAGTCAAAGCAATTACAAGGCTTCTGTTATCCTTTCTTAGCTTTGAATATCCAATTTCTGAAATAACGTAGCACCATTCTCAGTGATTTCTACAGGTTGGAGAAACAATGACAATACAAAGAATCACATCTTCCATGATATGGGCTATCTCCACAGGAAACCACTGTCACTGCTCTCTACCTCAAATAGAGAAAACACTATATGCTATTCTTATCTATTTCAGGATTTCCATCCTGTGAAACCTCTACTGTACTTTGTAAATTTTCCATTAATTTAACTTAGCTGCCCCTCAAATACCAAAAAACAAAAATAAAAAACCTTTTTTAGAAAACAATCCAGATCCAGGTTACCGAGAGGAAGCTTGGGAAGCGTTTTTTTGTGTGTGTGTGTGTTTTTTTTTTTTTTTTTTTGACAGGCAGAGTTAGACAGTGAGAGAGAGAGACACCCCCAAGTGGCCACCACAGCCGGTGCATTGCGGCCGGTGTGCTACGCCGATCCGAAGCCAGGAGCCAGGTGTTTCCTCCTGGTCTCCCATGCGGGTGCAGGGCCCAAGCACCTGGGCCATTCACCACTGCACTCCCGGGCCACAGCAGAGAGCTGGACTGGAAGAGGAGCAAGTGGGACAGAATCCGGCGCCCCAACCGGGACTAGAACCCGGGGTGGCAGCGCCACAGGTGGAGGATTAGCCTAGTGAGCCGCAGAGCCAGCCAACTTGGGAAGCTTTGAGACTAATTTGCATCCAGTTTGGCTTTTTGTTTTATTACCTTGGCCAAGCTCTCTTGTTTCTCAGAATTTAAGTTTCTTCTTCTGTAAAATGAGAAGGTTCAAATAAATGTCCCAGGCCCATTCAGTTTTCATATTCTGTAACTAGATTTCATGATAGTATTGTTTAAGATTAGTGATTTCCTGGGGCTGGCACTGTGGCACTGCGGGTTAAAGCCCTGGCCTGAAGCGCTGGCATCCCGTATGGGAGCTGGTTCTAGTCCTGGCTGCTCCTCTTCCAATCTAGCTCTCTGCTATGGCCTGGGAAAGCAGTGGAAGATGGCCCAAGTCCTTGGGCCCCTGCACCCATGTGGGAGACCCAGAAGAAGCTCCTGGTTCCTGGCTTCAAACTGGCGCAGCTCCGGCCATTGCAGCCATCTGGGAGTGAATTAGTGGATGGAAGACCTCTCTCTGTGTCTCTACTTCTCTTTGCAACTGTATTCCAAGTAAATAAAATAAATCTTAAAAAAAAAAAAAAAAAAAGAAAACTTGCTTTAAAATGAGGTGGGCAGGGGCTGGCACTGTGGTAAAGCCGGCACCTGCAGTGCCAGCATCCCATATGAGCACCAGTTCAAGTCCTAGCTGTTCCATCTCTGATCCAGCTCTCTGCTATGATCTGGGAAAGTAGCAGATGGCCCAAGGACCTGCACCCGCATGGGAGACTGTGAAGAAGTTCCTGGCTTCGGATTGGCATAGCTTCGGACATTTGGGCCATTTGGGGAGTAAATCAGCATATGGAAGACCCCCTTCTCTCTGCCTTTCTAATGATAAGTACATATTAAAGAAAAAAAAAGAGGTGGGCAGACAAGAAAAGGAGTTCTTGGTGGTGAAAGGTTGGGAACCACTATTTAAGGCAACCATGGTGTTTAAATTTATTTTGCTTACTCTGAAGCAAAAGAGAAAAGGTCGTGATAAATCTCATAACCACTAATTTCACAAGAATCCTTGAAGACTGAGGAGCTACAGCAACAAAATGTTCTGTGTAAAGACAGAAATTTTAACTATTTTCTACAAAAACTCTTGTAAATAGGTAATATGAAAAAATAATACAATAGTTGACTTTAATTCTCTTGCTTTGTTATCTATACAGTTTTGAAAAATATGCCAATGCACAAGTACATACTCCAGGAGAAAATGCACAATGAGCATTTCACTTTATGTCAAAAGCAGGGCCATAAGAATTATGTCAATGAGTTACACAAAAGAGAGAGGTAGGCTTTGAAAAAACAAAGGAGTCATCTCACAGTCATTATCTTCACAAAGATGACAGGGGCTGCCTGGACAAATCAGGCAGCCTCTCAATTAAAAAGGAACAATCAGCTGAGACTAAAACAGCTTCATGATTTTCATCACACCAACATGAGAGGAAAAAATGAAGAAAGCATTTTATACTATGCTAATTATTATTTTTTACAGAAGATGCTTACCATAGAGTTTATCTTAAGAGGATCTTTTTTGGTGCCATCAGACCTATAACTAAAACAGAATAGAATTCTTACTAGAACCTTCCAATTAAGAATAATGTATGTCACATGTAGCTTTAGTTTTTAGAAAATCAAATTGATTTTGCTCCCTTAAAAATTGCCATTAAAAAATAAATGCATGCTTTTAAAAAAGCTAAACAATAAGAATGATAAAAACTTGAGAAATTTCTATTGTTAGAAATAAATAATGCATAAAATACACAGTTGCAGGCTAATACACTTAGCTGTTTCTCTCAACCAGTTTCAAAGTCCAACTGACGTCTTGACAGAGTCAGCAGTTTGAGAAAGTATGCTTCATTTTATCAGAATTGCAGTTCAGGATATATGAAACAGGCAGAAACATCAAGCCATTGTGTTAACCTGAATTAATCAGTAAGACAATGTAACTTTCTAATTCCTACTAGTTATGTATGTACGTATCTCATAACTTATTAAATGATAAGCTACTTGGAGGCAGAACCATGTCTGATTCTGCCTTGAATCTAACATTGCCACATGTATCACAAGGATTTAATAAGTTTTTATAGAATGAACAGTTTTAAGAGAATGGATATTTGGAAAATCAATATATTTAAAACTAATTTTGAATCCTACTAATTGTTTGTGAGTTAAGAATAAAATAAGGATAAGAGGGTAAAAGCTCAATGACACAAGATTTCTGTATATATGAATTGTCTAGAAGATAAGAGTATTTTATCTAAAATTTGTCTTTTTTGACTCACGCAAAATCTCCTCCAAGTGTACAAATCAGCTGGGCTCCAAACACGCTCCATAAAGAAAGGCCTCCATATTCCCAGGTAACTATTACAACACTATTGTCAGGAGACCATCTGACCAATTTAACAGCTCCTGTTTTATTCCAAATGTCTGCCAAAAAGAGTGAGAAATTAAAAATAAACGAGTGTTTCTTACTACTTAGCATCTTTTACTGTCTATACATTCAAATCAAAATGATAAGAAAAACATGGATGCTTCACAAAATGAATCCTGACCATTTGATAAGGCTTATAAAATATGGCCATTAGTCTGGGCCTGATCTAAGCAGAACACTCAGAACACAAGAAATTCTTAAGAAACTAAAACCGTTTCTGGCTGCTGTTAGCTTGAATAACTACAACCCTGTAATCTTAAAAGTCTTTGGTTTTCCACAAAAACTGTGAAATGGGGATAAGGTTACAACAACTCCTTAGAAATAAACATACACAAGCCTTTAAAGAGGCTAAACAATAAGAATAATAAAAACTTAAGGAGCAAATTTCTATTTCTGGCAATTCAGTAAATGGTATCTCGAATAACTCTCCACATTTAAACAACAAAGATGTTGAGTAAAACACTTTAACACCTCAAAATAATTAAAAATACTGGGACAAAGTGCTTTTGCCCTGAATTTTCCTGCAAAGCTCTTGGAACCTTGATTACTACCTCTGATGATTCATAGGCATGAGGGCTAAGAGATAAAGCTCAGAGCTTGCACAAGGCAGAGAATCAAACAATAGATATTGTCAACGGCTACATTCATGGGATAAGTGAAAATAAGAAAAAAATTCTGCCATGTAGAAGGCAAAGAAATAGCGAGGAACTTTTTCATATTTCACCCATGGTATTAAAATGGAAAAATAGCTCCTCTGATAATCTGCAGCCACAAGTCAGTCCTCACCCTACTATGTAATTTGTGCTTAGTGTGGTTTGAAAAAGAATCACAGACAGTGCAGACAATGCAAAGGATTTCAGACTGAGGTGGTACTCTCAGAGGACCAGCACAAACACACACCATTCCTCTCTGGAAGAAACTAAAACACAATTCAGGTCTCAAGGCATTCACACAACTAAGTTTAAAGGAAAATATTCCACTCTCAGCCAATAATCCTAAAATATATCAACCAATGAGTAAGAATTGCCAAAAAACAAGTCATAGCAGAAATCAATCCAGAAAGGCTTCAGATATTGAGATTAACAGACACCGAATATAAAATAACCATACTTTTAATAGCTAAAGAAATGAGAAATTAGTAGCAGGATATATAGATTTAAAAAACAAAAAACAAACAAAAAAAAGCTACAAAAATTATTTAAAAATAAAAAATACAGTAACTGAAATTAAAAACTTAATTGCCAGATTTGGCAATATAAAACATAACTGAAGAAACAATTCATGAAAAAGATATTAGAGGAGAGGCAACAAAGATAGTAACTAGAATTCTCTTCAACAGTTGAAAGCAATGAATTCTTAAAATCCAGCAAGTTTCAGTCTCAAGCAAGAGTCAAAAAAAAAAGAAGAGAAAATTCTTTGCCTTACACATCACAATGAAACTGCAAAACACCCAAGGTCAAACAGATGATCTTAAAAGCAGCTAGAAAGAAAAGAATAATTTTGAGGCCTGGCGCTGTGGCATAGTGAGTAAAGCTGCTGCCTGCAGTGCCGGCATCCCATATGGGCGCCAGTTCGAGTCCTGGCTGCTCCACTTCCTATCCAGCTCTCTGCAATGGCCTGGAAAAGCAGTAGAAGATGGCCCAAGTCCGTAGGAGACGTGGAAGAAGCTCCTAGTTCCTGGCTCCTGGTTTTGGACTGGTACAGCTCCGGCTGCTGCGGCCAATTAGGGGGAATGAACCAGCAGATGGAAGATCTCTCTCTGCCTTTCCTTTTTTCTCTAACTCGGACTTTCAAATAAATAAATAAATCTTAAGAAAAAAAAAAAAAAAAAGAAGCCAGCACCGCGGCTCAATAGGCTAATCCTCCACCTTGTGGTGACGGCACACCGGGTTCTAGTCCTGGTTGCCCTTCTTCCAGGCCAGCTCTCTGCTATGGCCTGGGAGTGCAGTGGAGGATGGCCCAAGTGCTTGGGCCCTGCACCCGCATGGGAGACCAGGAGAAGCACCTGGCTCCTGGCTTCGGATTAGCGTGATGCCATTGGGTGAACCAATGGCAAAAAGGAAGACCTTTCTCTCTGTCTCTCTCTCACTATCCACTCTGCCTGTAAAAAAAAAAAAAAAAATTCTCTGACAACTTCATTTTACTGGCAGTAATGGAAACCCAAAGACACTGAAACTCAGTGTCTAGAGAGAAAATAACTGTCAATCCATAATCTTTTACCAAGTTAAACTAACTTAAATCACAGGGGCAACATAAGTAAGTTTTAGACACTACATATACACACCACCATACTTTACCATCACAGAAAGTTCTCTGAATGAACACTGAAATAAAATTCCAAAGGACGTATTTCAGGCAGAAAACGGTCTCAAGTGGAAGTTAGATGTTGTCAAAAGGGATGGTGAGGGGAGCACTATGGCATACCAGATTAAGCCACCACTTGGGACACCTGCATATCATAAGGAAATGCCTGTTCAAGTTCTGGCACGCCCATTTCTGATTCAGCTTGCTGCTAAGGTGTCCTTGGAAATAGCAGATGATGGCCCTCATGACTGGGCCTATCACACATATGGGAAACTTGGACTCTTGGCTTTGGCCTGGCCCAGGCCTGGCTATCTGGGCGTTTGGGGAGTGAAGCAGTAGATGGAATATCATTCTGTTTTCTGCATTTTAAATAAATGAAAACTAATTTATAAAAAATTTAAATAAATAAAAACGAATTTATAAAAAATTTAAAAGAAATAATGGTTGGCAAAATACTGGAATATATTTGGCTAACACTAAGTCAACATGAACAGTTAAATATTCAAATGTTTATTTGAAATATCTAAGCTTCCTCCTCAAAACTAGTAAGATTATTATTGTTAGATTATATTCATATGGGCAACCTCAGTATCTTTTTTTTTACTGATCCCAATCATCAGAGGGATTTGTAGCCTTACGGCAAATGTTCTTAAAATGGGGACACATCTACATCTTGGTGAAGAATAGATATAGCTGGAAAAAAGTTTCTCAATTATTAGTGCAGATAAGTCACAGAACATTATCAAATTCCTAAGACATGTAGTACTAAGACTGTACATATAAAGGTCATGGACCTTAGCTTACTTACAGAACAGATTACTTTATTCATCACATCTCCACTACGTGTCTCCCACTAACCTGAACTATCCTGTTGTAAAGAGAAGGGAGTTGGGGCTGGCACTGTGGCACAGGTTAACCCCCTGCCTGCAGTGCTAGCATCCCATATGGGCACTGGTTTGATGGCCTGGGCACTTGGGCTCCTGCACCCACGTGGGAGACGCAGAAGAAGCTCCTGGCTCCTAGCTTTGGCCTGGCCCAGCCCTGGCTGTTGCAGCAATTTAGGGAGTGAATCAGTGGATGGAAGATCTCTATCTCTGTCATTCCTCTTCTCTTTGTAACTATCTTTCAAATAAATAAAAAAGTCTAAAAAAAAGACATTATGTGCAGAGTACAATGGAGCACAAGACTGAATGGCATCCCAACTAGTTCACAAAAAAAGAGATTTCATTTGGGCTGAGTCTTGAAAGATGAACATATATCCTCCATGCAGAAATACAGGACACTTCAAGAAGAGGGGACAGTGTGAAAGTCAAAGCTACTGAATAGTATCAAAATAGGGGCTAGTGTTGTGATGCAGTGGGTTAAGCCTATAATACTGGCATCCTGATCTGGAATCCAAGATGGCAGATTAGGGAGTGACATAATATGCAAGAGCAGGGATTAACAGTGAAAGAAACTGGTGTAGGAAGTGCACTTTCATGAGAGAATTGGAGGGAAAACTGTGTTGGAACTCTTAAAACAGAAAGAAGAACACCATGAACCTGTGTGGAGGGTGCGGACACGCAGCAGGAACGCGGGCACAGCACACGACAACAGCCATAGAGAGCCTGATTGGGCAGCAGCTTGGAGACAGAGGTGAGACCAGACTGCAGCAACCCGTGGCGAAATAGCTAAAGGAAGAGCATAGTGAATCCGGACTGCAGCCCTGGGGGCTAGCAGTCACTAGCACTTGCCTGTGGACCCAGTGGAAGTAGAGAGGGATAAGTACCTGGCTCCTGCCATCGGATCAGCGCGGTGCGCCGGCCGCAGTGCACTGGCCATGGCGGCCATTGGAGGGTGAACCAATGGCAAAAGGAAGACCTTTCTCTCTGTCTCTCTCTCTGTCCACTCTGCCCGTCAAAAAAAAAAAAAAAAAAAAAACACAGAGAGGGAGGGCACATTCTTCTCAGTCCAGCTTCCCCAGAATAGCACTTGCTGCCTGGCTGGGAAAGGGTGGGCACCATTTTGGGTTCGAGGGGCAGCTGTGCAAGTCTTTGTGTGTGCCCACAACAACTTGCTGAGACAAGATGTTACTTTCTCAGCAGTACTGCCAAGAGTAATGGAACAGTATTAGTCCAGTGGCTCTTAGTGGTTCTAGCAGAAAGAACAATGCCCAGTCCCCACTGATTTTGAGCCCAGTTGGGAGGTGACTGGGTAACCTTGTAGGACGATGAGGGGCCGCAGACTCCCAGGATCAAAACACCTACGCGGAGTGGTCTCAGGGAACATCTACCTCTCTGCTGATTGGGCAGGCTGGCAGAGCAGACAGAAACCTCTACACCCAGCAACTGTAGGAGCCCTGTGTGCCAAGACTCTGGGGACTCATGGTGACATGAGAAGGTGCAGGGAGTGGCTGGGTCTCTGGGCAATCACTGGGAGCATTTCCACATGCTCACTGTGCTCACAGTTAGGACTGCGCAGATTATCTGTGCAATTCATACGGTAGCACAAAACATACTGGGGGCTAACACCCGGGCATTGAGATCTACCAAGTCCAACTTGAGTGTTACCCTGGATACTCGCTCCCACCTGGTGCACTGAACAGAGTTCCCTAGCCACACCCACCACACACCTCTTGATATTCACTGAAAGTGTAGACATCTACTAAGTAACCACCCAGGCATAGCTCAAAAGACAAAAGCCATCAGGGAAA